TATTCAATTAAATTACATGTTCTCTAACTCGCTTAATAAAGTAAAATTTCACATTGACATTATTATTCATATAAAAAACTTTGCGTTTCATTATTCAGTAGTCGAAAATGTGAAATATCTCATTCTTTCACGATATCAGATTTAAACGCGAGAATAACCATCGAAAGACACGCGTTATTAATTTTTCGCTCGAGCATATCGCGCTTGATCTTTGTACGTTTTTATAGTCCCGGTCCTACTCGTGATTCACGATACGTAATACAGACAGATCGACGATTTTCCAGCCCGATAGATTATACTCTCGCGTTGGAAAGTAACTGATCGATCGGTTGGTAAGGAAACGGCGGTACGCGGTCGTTCTAACCAGCGGCGAGCACGATCGATCAATCAACGCGCCTCCAGGCCGGCGCAACGCGCGCCGACGATCAATTTTCCATCGCCTATGCGGGCGAGACGAACTCCTTTTTTCGTCACCCGTGCAGTCTTTCCCGCGGAGATGCCCGCCGGCGCATCGATCGACGCCGATGTATCAATTAACGGGACGCGTTCGATCGTTCCTCGTCGTCCACCACCTCTGTCGTCGTTCGCGATTCGAGTTTCTTATGCACCGAGTACACTGATGATCGTCGCGGATGATCTCGGACCCCGTGGTACGAAGTCATTCGACGCGACCTGTTTCTGCTACATGCTAGTCCAAAATGCACGCCCCGCGGCACGTTCGACGTTCAACGAGCAAAGAACCTCGTCTCGGGATCGCGTAATTTTGTGTTTTTTTCGTTTCTCGATCGCGAAACGTGCCAAACGGCGCCGCGACGCGGCTTATCGGATTACAATTTCGATCGCCGAAATCGTAACGTCGAAACGTGTCGCGTATTTTCAATCTCTTACTTCCGATTTTGATCATCCCCCCGTTACTCTGTCTTTACACACTCTGTGATCCTGCACGCTGTTTCTCTTTGCACGCCTAATTGCACGCTTCGATCAGATTTACCATGTGGACACTCTTGACACGTATATCTTTATATGTGTATCTATGCAGGCTGCCCCGCTCGAAACGGACCATCCGATTGTCTTCTTCGCGCAAGTATAATCAAATTAGAGGAAATAGTTTTTTATTGAATTCGCCCGTAATATATTTAAGTTTTTAGACCCGGGAATACATTTTGCCATAGAAATTGAACAAAATGGAGCGACAAATTGACTAATTGTATCTCTTGTCAGACATAATAGTTTTTTAATGAACTTTTAACTTCTTTCGTGTTAGTTAAACGTGTCTACCTTTCCGTAAGACACCTTGGGTAAATTTTATTCGATTAACCAAAGTAATTACCGTGAATGACGCAAAATGAGAAGTAATATAGAAAGTGATTTTAGTTCGGAAGACTTTTAATGAAAATAAGAGCAGTTCTATTTATAGTAAAAAGAAAAGTGAAACAATTTCTCGTATCGTCGCGGCCGCAGAGGACAATTAGATGGTCTGCTTCGAGCGTGACGCCCTGAACTCTCTATATGTATATGTAAGGTATATATAATCTTTTGCCAGTGTTTCATACTCTCGTTTGTGCGAACGTCAATTTTGTTTCTAGTGTGTATCGAACTAAGTCGACCAAGTATGTTCCGTAGATCGTATTTATCTGTGACATCGAAGCGTTTCGTTGAAAATTCTGCTCGGAGAGAGAGTTTTCGATTGGTTTCTTCCTCTGCCTCTCTCTGTTTCTCTCTTGGGACGCGGCGCTGGGAGCGTTCTCTCTTCCGCGCCGACGTTTCGAATCGTCCGCCGCAAAATTAAACCGGGATCCCGCGTCAGATTAGGATTTTTCGTTTAATTTTGCGCCGCGGAGCCGCGGGACGCCACCGGCTCGATGTCACAGCGTGAGACCGTTTCCACGTAAAGTTTTACCGTTTCGTAACTGGTTTTAAATCTTCGCACACACCCGTGTATTATGCATCGTTCAGCATCAACGTATGCGAGAGTACACGTAATGTCATTCATTTCTTTTTTTTTTTATATATTTTTTTTTCCTTCATTGATTGAGTATCATCACACAGTTTGTCCATACTAATTTTGCAACGACGGATCGCCGTGGACGACGCTCACGCGATCCGCTAGTAGGAGTCGTGTTCTTTTTGTCCCGTTTCGAATGAATTCACCATCACCTTTGTTGCTCTCGATATACGGAGCGGCGGGAAAGTCCCTCGGCAGTTTCCTTATTCGCAATCAAACGCTCGATATTTGATCGCGCGGCACGTTTCAATCGGGAAACTATTCCATTCCGGGGAGATCGAATCCTTCGTATTATTACGTTAACGTTCGAGAAATTTTTTCCAACGCAGGACGGTCAGATTCGCAAGAAATTCCGATACAGCCATTTTAAATCAAAATCGTTGTATATGTGTCACGATCAAAGCTCGAACTTGGATCACCGAATATAGGAATCAGCTTGAAAAATTAAAATTAAAGCTTGAAATTCTCCCTTAATTTGATCAAAAATTTCAATACCTTTTGGAATCTTTTTCTCGACAGTGGGAAGGATTTTGGGGGTATTTTTACTCCTAATATGATTGTACTTGACCCCCGCAAGCAATAATACTTGTTTCAGAAGAAATTAAAATTTTTTTTTTCTCTGGCAACCCCCTTCCCTTTTTTCGAAAATACTCGACGATTTACAGATAAATAGTCTAATACGTGTCTGTAGGTACCCCTGGGACGTATTTCAAGCCCTGTTTCAAAAAATAATTGGAATAAAATAACATTTAAACGTCGCCTGTACTTTCGACTGCCCCGAGAGCTGCCCTGATCGGCAGACAACGCGCAGGGATTTTTCCGTACGCTTCGTATCTGTGTTGTATCGTACAATCACGTTTTGGACCGATTCTGACCGAGCTATTATCACTATCACTATGTAGAACAGTTTTTTAATTATGAAGACTATGCTATGTTTCGTTCGAGATATTCTCTATGATTTGGTGTAATATCATGCTCATTATCATTATTATCGTTATCATCGTCATTAAAGTTACATTATGCGGACCGTAGTAAAATCGTACGCGGGACGGAATCGATGCGAGCGACCTCGACGCTGCGAGCTCGTTACGCTGCATGAAATTATTTTCCCGTCAACTTGGTACGCTCGGGCTTTTCCTCTATTTTTATTCGAATTATGACGCTGCTCGACCTGTCGCGAAATTCGAGATCGCTCGCGTACTTTCCTCCCGGCTAGTGTTTCCGGCTCGTTTCGGTTGTTAATCCGCTCGTCGTCCTATAGGGCCTTGGGTAAGTAATTCGACGACAACCGAATCGCATTAAGGGGCACGAAATGCCAACGGCGTTTAATTTCATCCATTAAAATTTTTTTACGCTCTCGTGACACGCCAGGGGACCGCGAACCATCGGGGGCTCCGATCGTAACGTTCCTCCTCGAAGAGCTTCGATCGAAGTCTTGGTTTCGACTCGGATGGCCGACAGTAAAGACGCATTAGTCGACATTAACAGTCGCCCGCGGTCATAAATGTTCATTTTCCGTGCCGTGGGTCACGAGTGCGCGGCTCTGACCGAATATTTATGGCCGACACGCAATTTTTCACGGACTACGGGCTTTCGCGGGGGAGCGTTGCACCTGTACAGAGAGGTCACGAGGGAAGACACGCGTCGAAGAGTCTCGAGACTTCTGATATCATCGGGTACCCTTCGAACGCTCCAGGGGAAAAGAAAGTTCTGACCCAGGTTAAGATGAATGCTGCAAAAGGAACATGGACAGGCTCGAATAATACTTGCTTACAAGAGACATCGTCCTATCGACAACAGAAATATTTTTTTTTTATCAAATATATCAAAATTAATGTATATTTTTAGTGGACATGAAACATTTGTCTTTGGAAGGTCTGATTTTCTCCATAATACAAATTGGTAGGAAGAACATTATCTGCGCTAAGTGGTGTATGTCAATGTATGGTCAGACGAGGGAACAACGCGCCACGAGTTTCGAGACAAGTATGCGGGCCCGATCGAACGCGGATTCTTCAAAGGCAAATCAGATTTCGAGTTTCGTGCCCCGTGACCTCCCCCCACCCGTCGACGAGACTTCGACGAGCACCGGGGAAATTGTCGGAAAGAAAACGCGAGCCTTCCGGTTCGCTAGAAGATCAACGATATTACGTCAAAAGCATGCTGTTTGCTTCTTTTTGTCGGCCGTTTTGGACCGTTGTCGGCACCCCGGGGGAACATTAATTACGCTCCCTTCGTTCCCGGAAACGGATTAAACTCCGAACAGTTTGTATTCCCGCGCTTGTATTTTAATGTTAATTTCAGACGTTAGAGAAGAAGATTTATTAACTGTGCCACGCTTTCGACGCGAGCCGAGGCGCGCTGTTAATTTTGTTTCGTTGGCTGAAGTCCCGCAAAGTTCCCCCGAGTTCGATGTAATTATCCCGCAAACTGTTCCGTTTCGCTCCGATTCGACGGGCGCCATTGTTTCTTGCGTCGATTTTTTTTCTTTCGAACAAAGCCTCCCGGACGCTCCAAGTTAGGAACGCGTTATCAAACTCGTTAATGCGTTTTATCGTTGCAATTCGACGCGGTATAAATAAAAATAGCAGAAACCACCTACTTTTTCTCTTCGATCTATTTGGATCGTGGTGCGTCGAAAAAGATTTCCTAATAAGAAACGACTCGTCCGCGCGACCCTCGATCACTCGACGTATCCATCTTACCGAAATCCAATTATTCGACTTAGGTTTCAGGCGCGTAACGAAGTCTCGTCGCCTTCGAAGCACGCGTTTCCCCCCTGGCACGCGATCGAAAGACCCTGTCGACCCTACTCCCAGCCATTCACTTTCAGTCTCTAGATTCTTTCCCAGAAATTAATGAAAAAGATAAGAAAATAAAAATAAAGAAAAAAAAAAGGAAACCGAATGTGCCGTCTCCGGTCGAGATACGCGAATAGGAGAGCGATTAGTGTCGGCACGCAGGTACATACTATTATCACACGTCACGTTTGTAGTTCCACCGCGGATCTCGCCGTTTTATTTCGAGAACGGTGTGACGGAGGGGATGAGGACACAGCTAATGTGTGCCACGAGCCAGGGTGACCAGCCGTTCAACATCACCTGGTTAATGGACGACAGACCGATACAGGTCAGGCCGGGTGACGGCGGCTCGGCGTCGTCTTCGTCGGGCGGATCCAACGCGGCCGTCGTCGAGACGGGCAACAACATACAGATAAGCGACTATTCGCCGTTTTCCAGCATCCTGACGATAAATAACGTCAGCGCTAGGCACAGCGGGAACTACACGTGCCAGATCAGCAACGTCGCTGGCCTGGCCGAATACTCGATCAGCCTCTCCGTTGCTGGTTGGTGTCTCAAACGAGCAAGAACAAAAATCGACATGGTAGCTGTAAGAACCTGTGTACATAAAACCGTGAGCAGCGATACACTCGTCTGCCCCCGTGTGAATTTCTGCGTTTATACGGAACGATGGCGTCGTAAAAGGTACACCTTAACGTCTCCGATGGCTTCGAAGGACGCGGTTACGGTCGAGGATGAGATCGTACGCAGCGACTACGAAGCCATGATGAGACCTCGATTCTCTTAACTAAAATTTCCCGACTTCGAAGAACGTATTTTCATTTCCTCCATTAATCTATACAGGCAGCAATGTTTCCAAAAAATATTTCGCAACTAATAGAGCGGTTCTTAGATCCATTATTCTCGACAGTGACCTCGTGTCTCCAAAACCAACGAAGACAGTTGGATCTGTCCTGTAGGACGCCTCGTCCCGTACATGTGTATGTACGCACACGTGTATATATATACATATTACGGCACAGTAATCAAACGACCATGGGGAAGGATTGGAGTACAGTGTGTTCCGGCGAAATCGATTCCGCGTCGCGTTTCCGGTGACCCTGCTCCTCCTCGACGCTTCCCGTTCCTTGTCTCGATGCGTTTCCCGTCTTCTAACGTCTTTTCGCGATCCTTCGCGGTCCGTGGAAACCCAGTCGGGGAAATATCATCGAGTGGACTGTTCCCGGGGAAACTTTAAACTTATACTCTTTGAACTTTGGCGCGGCTGATGGGAGCTACGTGAAAGTCGGAGGATCTTAGCGTGTTCTCTGTTTAATGAATTCGGTGGCATAGTATTAGCGTACAGAGGTACTATGGAGAATCTTCTCTATTTTAGTTGGAGTTAATTAGTCGGACCGAAGAAGTGCTTATTCTTGGAAATAAAAGTAAATATTGTAACCGTGATTGGTTTGCTAAAAGTGCGAGTATTTCTAGTAACATTTTCCAGCTGAAGAAGCGCGAACGATTATCCACGTGCTGGTAGCTAATAACAAGACGCATCTATTTATTCGTTGGAACTCTTTAACGTAATAAGAGGAATAGGAAAATTGCAAAAAAATGTATGGATAAGTGGGTAGGAAATATCGGAAATCGATAAGGTACAGCAAGATGAGGTTGAAATCAGTCTGCTACTAATTTATTAATGGCGTGCTTAAAAGTGTTAACAGAGTTTGTAAGAAGTCAACACTGTTACCGAGATCATTAACTCTATTGCATATTCTAGGTGTAGGTTTACTTTCACTACATTCGATCTTGCGAAGCTGTACAGCGAAAACTGTATTTTCCTTGAGTATAGGATAACCGTTAAAAAAGAATTACAAGCGTAAACAGAGATTCTAAAATTATTACCATTTCGAAGGATCTGTGCTGGATAGTTTCAAATTACGTCTATTCGACAATACATACAGACCGGATTACCGAGGTACATTCAAGGCGTAGAAAAGAAGTAGAAAAAGAAGATCCTCACCGAAGATTTCTTTCAAGCTGACCTTTTTTTTTTTTTATGCACATGCATTCATAGCATGTCTTTTCATCTCTTCGTGTAATTTCAAGACTCGTCACTTTATTCTTGGTTCGTTTCATTTCTTGAAGCATCCTCGGAGCCTCAAACTCTAATTCTCAGTTTACTGCAAATAAGTATATTCAGACGGTCTCTGTCTCACGACTCGTGGGCGTCAATTTTGTCAGAATTTGCGAGAACGCCTATTCTCGATTATTACGTGGAACCAACCAAGCGCCACACGGTACCCGAGTTAATTTCCAGGAGTTCGGACCCCTTTCCACGCGTCATAACGTTTCGTTCGCAACAAGATGCACTGGATTTGCCAGCACAGCCGCGCGACCAAACTTTTCTCGTAGATGTTCCGAGACGTTTTTCCAAGGACGAAGCACCGACGCTCGGGCTGGCAATTACAGTTTCCCAACTACGGCATTTCCGTGCATGCACCGAGACTTCCTCTGGTTAAGCGCGGAACGATGAACACGTTTTTTCAACGAGCACATTCTCCGACTCGAATGTTCATTTCCTGCAACGACGCCGTCTTCCTCTGTTCCTTCGGACGGCATTATAAGCCTAGGCTTCCCCGTTCGGGGGAGGGTGAAACTTCCCCTCGCCGTTGGACGTCGAATCGAGATTCTCGCGAGGATACGCGGCGCAGGGAAATTAGTTTTGAGTTTCGAATTTCGAAGTGCCACGGTAATGCGAGTTTTCGAGAAGTTCCAGGTGCCATCCGACCAAACACCGATCTCGAAAGTCGTTGACACCTATTCCTTGGCCGAAATCGCGCCCAATATCGACCAAAGTTTACAAAATTTTAAGATTCCAGGTGCTCGATATAGGTGGTCGTATTTTGCAATATGAAAGTTACAGACAAATCATCGAGAAAATGGGGAAAAGGCAAAATACTGCTCAAAGCTTGGCTTCCGGGGTTACAGCACCGTGTTCGACAAAAATCAAGAGCATCAAGAGCACGACGCGTCTCGTCGCGATGTAATGTTACATCCGCCATTCGTATTCACTAGGCGCGGCTCCGTGAACGCGTAAAAACCATCGTAAATCCGAGTTATACGCGTTATGGCGGCGTATCAATGCGTTTGCGAGGCGTACGCGCGTCCGTCGTGATTTCGATATCGTTTTTTCGGGCTCGGTTGTTCCTCGCGGTGCGTAATAACACGGATAGGGGTGTTTCGTGCCGCTAACGAACTATTTTCAGTCCCTCGACCAATCTGATCTCGAAAATACGAGCCGTGGCCGAAACAAAGCCTCGAACGAGTGACGCTTCGATCCTGAAATAAATTTTAATTTCGAACGGCCTGGATCCACGAACCGTGAGTGTTTTAGGGAAACTCGACATCTCAAAAGAGAAATAATTCTTTGGAAGCAAAACTTTTGAATTTCCTCCTCGAATAATTTAGAACTCTGATAAAAAAAGAAGGTCACCGGTCGAGACTGCATTTTTCCAGGCGGAAATATTAACGCGAGACGGAAAAGAAAGGTTTCGAGAGTCGGAAGTCGCCGAGTAAGTTTTATTTATAAAAGTTGGCAGTCCGTTCTTATCGGTGGCGAGGGTGGTACGGCGATATATCCGGCCGAAACAAGGGCCAATCGAGTGGAAAATGGAGTGCGCGATTTCCAGTGATCAGCGAAAACGCTCGGTATGATAAGGGAAAGGAACGGTCGCTCGCGGTGAGAACGATAACGGCAAGGAGGTTGCCAAACGATAAGGAACACCTGACTTTCCATTTGTTTTCCATTATTATAGCGCGGCAGCTGGTCCCGTCGCGTCGTTGCAATATATCCGGTATACGGCCGGTGTCCTGGAATCGGACGACGATACGGCCCGGAAGCGAATAACGTCGAGCCGCGTCGCGGAACAGGAGTTGGAACGGAAACTGCAACGTGTTCAGATAAACGCGCCCGCGACGTTGCACACGCATTAGCTCCGTTATCGGATACACGTGTCCTAATGTCTATAAAACGACGGGCACTGGTCGTCATTCAAAAGCCATTTCGGACGAAAACGTCTCCTCCCGATGGAATGGAAACGTTCTCGGCGTCCCTCGAGAAACTCCAGGACGAAGGAGCGTCGTTTAAAGTTGCAACGTCGAACTTCAAACGACGAGATCTTCCCAGGGATGCGCCCGAGTCTACGAACGAACCTCACGGAGCGAAATAAACGATCGTCGAGGATCGCTGTTTTAGAGAAACAGTTCATTTAATGAGCTAACGAATTTTGGGATACGTCGAGGATACTTCGAAACAAAGATTACAAAGTTTGAGAGCGGATGGTACTCGTCAAAACAATTAAGATGCACTGTCTATTCACCAAAAATGATTGTAATTGACCCCCGCAATCGAAAATAATTTTTTTAGAACGTTTTGAAACGTTTTAATTTTGTTAGTAAGTCTTAATAAGTTTTATTTTGGCCTCTAGAATCTACCATTAAAATTTTACTACTTCGCTAATAATGTTAGAAATTTCATAGACTAGATTTTTACCATCAAAGTGACTGTTGTCAGAGAGCGTGTCGAGAATTAGGACATTTGATCGCTGCAGCATCTCAACACTAGTATGAATTATCCAAGCTACTCGGAAAATCGATTTTATTTTATCCATTTTAGCCAATAGAGTGACAGGTACGACGCCTTTCGACGAACATGTAGATATTCTTAGACGTACCTCTTGAGCTGCGCCAGCTATATTTAACGGTGTTCGACATTTTTTTTTCCCGAACTATCCGACAACGTTTTCGCGCCGCTTTCGGAGAAACTTTTTCTATTACAAAGCCACGCCACCGAATTTTAATTGCTCGTGAGTGGACCGCGGATGTTTGTGCACGCACGGCGTACGCGAATATGCAAAACGTATGCAAAATGTATGCAAAATATATACAGAATAGATGCACTTACATGTACTTATGCAAAATATGCAAAACGAGATATACATTATTGAAAACCTCGAAAGACGAAATGAATGTCTGTTTAGGTCTCGCTTTTGTCAATTAATTTCAACCGTGTATACATTTGTACAAACGTCCGGTTCCTCCGCGATAAGTTTATCGTCGCGCTAGATTACTCTTCCAAACACGCTTCCCGACATATTTTCATACTATTTCTGACTTCTGCTTATTCAGAAAATTTGAATTTCGTATATTGAAATGAACCAAAACGTAAATGGTTCGAACATTTAATGAATATATTAAATTAAGTATGCATAGCTAGCAATTATTGGATAATTTTCTATAATTACAAGCAATATACGGAGCAAGTTAATAACTTTGATCACGTTAATTATCTCTGTTATATTCCGAGATATGGAAAAACTTCATTCACGGAAGTCGCGCGGTATCGAGGGACCCATAACGTGCCAGTAACAATTTTTTATGACCTTTTTAAACGGTTCACCCCTACTCTGATAGCAGGTACTTAAAAAAATGTTAACCAGCTATTTCTTATCCGAACGTTAACTCTTTATTTTATGTTACGCCCCGTTACTTAACTTACGCGTTTAAAGATTGGTATATACAAAACGTCCAAAGCGTCGAGTTCGACGCTACGACAACGAAATTAAATTAACTTCCAGTTCCAGAGAAAAGTGGATAGCACGAGCATGCTCGGTTAATTAGACTTTGCGATCTCCGGGTTCGAATCCTCCTCGCTTTAGGCATCGGGAGACATCCGAAGTTTCGCCAACTCGGCCAATCTCGGTGCACTTCCACGAAGCACGTTCAGCGTTTAAAAACAGTGGCTCGAACCTTTCCTGCTCTCGCGAAACTCTCGCCGCCCCCGTAGCGTCCATAAATAATTAAGTGTCAAGTTTTCCCTCCCTAGTCTTCGTCCTAAAGTCGAACGATTTCGCTTCAAAGTTCCCTAGCTCCTGCTCGACAATGCGCGGCCCCGAATCGCCTAACAAATTTCCAACCCTTGGCTCTTTGCGCGTTCCTTGAAAACACTGTGCAGCCGAACGGCAAAGCGGGGGCGCGAGGCGTCGCCCGTCCCATCGGTCGAAAGTTCCTCGCGCTTTTAGCTCGGTTCCGCGCTCATCAACGGCCGCCATCTTCCTCGCTCCGCAACAGGTCCACGATCGGCGGGCGGCTTCCTTTTATCGAGAATTTTCTGTTTGCCCTCGCCATTCGAGCGTCTTCGTCCTTTGTCGTCGGCGTCTTTCACCGAGTAAATAGTGGAAACTGCAATATCTTCGACGGGAGATTGTTATTTCCCGTAACTTTGTTCCCGGGATCCCGTTCGTAACGGTTGCAATAGCTCGCGATTTCGAGCGACAAAATCTAGCCGGCACGTCGCTCGAAAGGATGATAATAAATCAAGAACGGAAGATTCCTCGAACTTTGAATTTCAAATTCGAATACGTTGAATCGTTTTAAACATCTTTAAATTATCTATCTAAATGTCTACGATATTAATATCAACGAAAATCATCCCTTAACTTTAAAAGGTGAAAAGTCGAAGTTTTCTCGTTCTGAGAAATCGTTCTGTAGAACGGAACGCGGGAAAATTAGCCAGCCGGTCGAAACAATCATTCCGTGGAGCATTGTTCCGGTGAACCGGTGTCGTCCCGACTATTCCAGCCATCCGGACCCCTGGTGGACTCGATGTAGCCGAATTGGGGTTACTGGGTTCGAGGAGGACCGTTTCCTCGAATGCCAGGAGGGCTGCATAGCAGTCCGCATAGTGATGCCTTGGAACCGAGTCGAACCGAGGTGTCCGGCCGGAAGCAGCCCTTTCGAGGCGTTCACCTTTCAGAAACCAAACGGAATTCTTCGCGCGTCCGTGCGACACACGTACTCCAATCCTCTCCAAGGCGACAGCACTCTCGCGAGGAAGCGATTAACGGCGAAGAAAAAAAGAATTATGAAATGACACGACCCGATAGGCCGTACAGCACACAATCGTCTCCGGAGTCCAAGGGTTCTTTCACGTACCACGGAAGGGAACAACGTTTCTAGGGACGCAGGCTTACCGTGATTTTAACTGTTTCATTTATTGCTTGGCGAGAAAGAATTATTCGTCGGCAACGTTCGTCACAGAATTTTCTCGCTGAACGTTCCCACCAATTTATTGCCCTCCTCGGAAATTTATAATATCAATTTTTAGCACAGCGAAGCAAAGTACGGAGAGCACATTTATTGGCAACTTTTTAATTTCCATATATTATCGTGTCGTTGGTTGGTTTTTATTTTGTGAATTTATTTGGTTATCAGTCGTGACCAATATTCTGTCAGTATATAAGCTAACGAATTTACGAAAAACTGAACTCTCGAGGAGAAGAGATAAAAAGATGAACTTATTTTTATAAATTCGTGATCAAAGGATATCGAGATAAATTGATGGAAATTTGCGGCGAAAGAGCGCTGGACAGAACGTTCCCGTTGAATAATTGTCGTGATTTTTGTTGGTATATTTTTTTTGTTCCTTCTCGATGCATGGCAAATGGACGAAACCGATTCAACCGCAACCAGAACGTATTCGCGGGCACGGTTTCTTTCGTTCGCGTGAAATTATACAGGGAAGAGCACGTTTCTCTCCCGTCCGACGTTTAATCATCGCCAAGTTAATGCGTCGACGAGCCGGGTAAGGCAAGACAAAACGAAAGAAAAACAAAGAACGAGAGAGTACCTTCGTCTTGATATTTTTTTCTTTGCTCTCTTTTCTCTGTTCATCGTTTAGTTATTCTGTACATCCTCACGTTCATCAGCATTTTGTAAAGAAGTTCGATGTAGTACCCGAGCGTTGAGCGAGCTGAATTTAATTAGAATTAGACACGTTTTGTTGTACGGCCGTTTCGTATCTGCGAACGGTTCATATTTTCGTTCGATCTTTTACCTTCTTGTTCTTTTCGTTTGGTTTCGTTGTTTGTTTACGCGTGTTCGTTAGTTAGAGTATCATCTACTTCTTTGATTGTACTTTGTAGCGGTTTCGTGTACCGAGAGATACTTATTGTGCTCGTGCAATGCAACAAATGTCTGTGACAGATGTAAAGCATGCGTTCGCGTAGTTAACGTTTCTGGTTCATACGTTTCTCGTAATAATTTTTCTCACTCATGGTATTTTTCATATACATATCAATACGATATTGCTATATATTATATATATACATATATAAATACGAGCAACTTGGAATGACGATGGAAGAGAATGTTGGAAGCAACGTTTTATATACATTTACTGTGTGCCTCGAGTTTTTTGCGTGTTTTTTACCTTCGTACTGATTACAAGTAACATTATTTGAGATAGGTTTGCGTTGTTCGTACGTTGTTCTTTAAATCGATCGTTATTACATTATATATTCACGTAATCTTTTTTACTTGGAATGATGCCTGCCTGTGTTTCGTTATATTTTTTGAATAATTCTTGCATGAGACACGTTAAACCAGCCACGGTATACTTTATCCCGTACAATTTTTTGAAGGAATACTCTTCCCTTGTTTGATAAGATCAATCGATAAGTTCCCTCCTGATTATTTTCTTCTTTATTTTACCTTCGTTTTAATTAACGTACATTATGTTCACCACTTTCGAGACTCAGTTGCTGAATACACATTCAGTTCACCACTTAACGAAGAATAAGTTTCCACGAAACCAGCACGATTTTTATTTACGTTAAGAACGCACGTACTTTCCATTTCCCTCCAGTTTTTCAATGGTTTCATTCAGCCGTTCGTTCGTTATTTTAATTGCTGCTCGAAGTTTCTTCCTGGTAATTAGTTTCCTCTTGATTGAGACAACGAATGAGTAAACATTTCCATCCCTTCGATACGACATCGTCAATTCAAGTAATCCAAACACAGACAACGTCGGCTCTGTTGACACACAGTTGTTGTTTTACACACTTAGCGATACGTAAGTATGCAGTACATCGAACCCGTTGGGAATTGCATGCGTTTCTCACAACACGATTACGTAAATACAACAGCCACACGCGACAGCGAAAACAAGTAGCTGATCGACGATCCCCGTCGACGGAAACTTCCGTACGATATTCCGTCTCTGGCGAGCGACGTTCGCGAGAACAATGGCTAATTAAACCGACAAAGGATGATCTTTTTCGCGTCGAACGATGGAGAACGAATCGATTGATTTTTCGTGCCGCGTAGGCAGCACCGACATCGAATATTTCATACTCAAATTATAGAGCGAAAAAGGCAAATATACCGGGCTTCGATTCTCTCTAAGGCAGACCTGTCGTTCAAGATCTCGTTAGTTTACAATTTGCGTACTTGATAGATTTTTAATACATCTTTTCTCGAAAATTAAATCTTGCACGGGAAAATAATTTATCGGACAATTTTTCCATGCTTAATCGCGGTGAACCATTGTTTATGTAAAGTGGGTCAGGCTGAATGGTACGTAGGGTGATTTAGTGGACAAAAGTGAGTAAAAAATGTTACTGTGATTTTCCCGTACCAGCCTTCGATTTAAAGAAATTTGATTCTGAAAATTTGTCAGTTACGATTATAACATGTCTGACCATTATTCGATATTACTACTTAAATACTTGGATTAATATTTGTGAATGTTAATTTCAACGTGTTATCGTTTATTTGTAAGTACTCTGGATATGCTAATATCGATTAAGAGCTGGTAGGAGCACAGCGGATGTCAGTAAACAGGAGCGCAAGTAGAAATATCGAACAATGGTCAGACGCATCAGTCGTCAGAGTTCGAAATCGATTTCCTCGACATCGGAGGCTCGTATCAGAAAATTCTATTCTACCTTTTCGATGTATTTTGACACAACTAACACCGTACACTTGATTGTATCACGCGTTTGCATTTACCCTGCATTTTCACGACGATGCAAAGTGGAATAGGTATAAACCTGTTACAATGTACCATCTAACTTTACTACCTGTACTGTCAGCGTTTAAAAAAACTTTCTCTACAACAACTATATGTATTCTCGAGTTCATAACGTAAATTCAAGAATCGTGAGCTTTAAGAATTAAATATATAGGTGCCTCGAAGAAGATCCATCGTGCAACCTAGCTCGTTAACGAGGCCCGCGGAAACCGTGTCTTTTTAACGTCGAAAATGGTGGAAATATTTCAGGCGTTGCAGTGTGTACAAAAAGATCCATCGGTCGCCAGGTCTGCCTTTAAAGGGTTCAATTTGTTCTGCGAAACGAAGCCCGTGTGGCGCGCAAAAACGATCAGATGTTTCGTCCGGGCGAAACGAAGCATTGTCAGCGGGCGGAAGCGTTCTCGCGAGGCCGTCGTAAGGAAAGACGGCAAAGGCGGTGTACAATGCTCACGGACGTCGTAATTGACGGCGATTCGTGTTCTCCTGAACGGGGGCCCCCGACAGAGGCGTCGTCGACGGGAATCGTTCGAGATCGCGCTCCGGATGAAACGCACGTCCGAAGCGAATCGGCCAGCCAGAAGATTTTAAGCCAATTGGATCGTATTTTTAGTGCCGCCGCGATGGACGGTGGAACCTATCGACCAGAACGCCGTTGTAGGTCACGGCGTCTCCATCTCCTGTCAGGCTAAAGGATTCCCCATTCCGACTGTGACTTGGAAGCAATCGATCGGTAAGTCACGACTCCTTGAAGCTGGTCTCCCGCTGCGACCCGGCCTTCCTCGGGCTGCGTTCTGAAAAACGCGTCCAATCTTGCTCTGTAAATCGCGAAACGCGACAGCCAACGTCTCCGCCGTCCCCCAAGAACACGGACTTAGTTGTTTGATGTTTTCCCAGTATTTCCTCCGCGTGTCCTCGTCCTTGTTCTTTCCTTTTGCCGGGAATCTGTTTGAGTTCTCCTCGGACCAGTGCTTTCCAACGCAGGGGCTTAAAATACAAGATGGACGCGACGTCTTGTCGCGCAGAGAAACGTTAAGCATCTTTTCTTTATTAATGTATTAGCCATCGAAGCTCGCTCGCGGGAGCCTTGATATTTTCCGTGTTCTTGGAAACCACTTGGAAATATTTCTGTCGCTTATAATTAGAACACTTCGAGATTCCAATTCTTCATAAGACTAAACAAGTCGTGTTTGCTTCCAAGGATCTTGTTCGATCCCTAAAAGTCATAAATTGCACGAAGGTCGAGCGAATCTGAGCCGTCTGGTTTCGAATTTTCCTACGAAATCTGCCTCGTCGTTGGCGAACCCGTTAATTATTAGCCTGCTTCTCCTCGGAACCGCGCTTGTTAGTTCTGACTTCCGACGATGCGCTCTATTGCTCTCGTAGGGCTTTGAAATGACAGGACGAGACGTCTGATGCTTTTAAAACGCGATTTTATTTCTCCCTGGCAGCATTGGTGCCGCTTAATAAGCGGTATTCGATGCTTCCGCTTTGATAGATCCGTTTCCTTTGCGAGACATGTCCGCGTCGATTTTACGCTACCAACTACCGCTGGCTGATCCTTATTACCAGCCCTTATTCGTTTTACGCTTCTTCCGTAATGGTTTTCGTTCGTAGACGGGGAATTCTGAGCATTCAAGACCCTCTACCGGTCCCCTTTAATCGGCGGGATCAACGTATCTTCCTCCGTGGCGCGAATCGTCGTCGACGAAAATGCTCGTTTTTAATATTAGATGTAGTGAAAGAAAAATATTTACGTAACGGAGAGTTGCCTAATTGGTACCTTTTGAACCTTTCAAAGTAATTCCTACTACTTTCGTCGAATTTGGAGAAGACTTAAATGGAAAGACCGCTTAATTAGCGTAAGTATCAACTGTAAATTTAATTCTAAGGCTTACGAAATTACAGTTCTGTTTGACAAGTCGAGCGTAAGAAGACGTTCGTTCGATGTGTTGCTTTGGGTATTTTATTCGATCGAATCTGCGAGGAGGAATCCAGCAAATAAACGCTAATGCTCGACGATTCCTCGTGACGTCTCAGTTTGGTACGCTTGTTTGACTTTTCGTATTTATTGCGAGACATCGGTAATGAAATCGTTTGCCAGCGATCTTCCTCCTTTGTTTCTGTCTCAATATTCTCTTCCCTAACAACTCCAATAACTTTCGACGACTTTTGCGCCGATCCGGGCGTTCGTCGTTTTCATTAAGTTACACCTGTCGGGTAGTATTTAACCGGAGGGCGGCTGGGCGAAGGGATCCATCAGAAATTTCGCTGAGCGGGCGTTTCCAGACGGCCTCATTCAGCTCGAAATAAGCCCTTCGCTCTATAAAGCGACGGTATAATTAGTTTCATCGGTTCGTCGATCGCGAACATTATATCGCGTCGATTTAGGGAATGGAATTCTTCCTCTTCGTTCGTGGCTCGTTCGGTTCGAACGAGGGCATTTTTTATTCTTCGTTTATTACGATTTCGTGGTCGAGCTTACCTCCCCGTTTAAATATCTCGGTGGATACGGAGAAATATTTCGCGTAAAACGTATTATCGAGAGGTAAAAATTAAGAGCGCGGATTAGAAAAATTAAGGTATCGCTGAATATTTTGTTAAAAATCGCAAAGTGTTCGGAACCACAATGTGATGTATAGTACGACTGCACATTCCGCGGATACTGTATCTTTTCACGCAACACCGAGCTTTCTTTGGACATTTACCCGTTTCCCCAGTGTTTATTGTATCGGAAAGAATGTCGGGTGACGTTGATCTGACGGCGTAGCAGCGTTCCCTTGTCGAAAGAAGAAAACGCGACACAGTGAATTCCGACCGATACTCTAATACCGAAGAGCATTCTGTAACGTCATAAACGTGCAACCCGTGACACGGGATTCCTTCTCCTACAGGTTGACACCTAACGTTCTCGCTCCGACGATATCCATTTCTTTCGAAAATATGGAAAAGTGTCGCCAGAAGGAACTGTTCGATACAAAGAAACAAATTTCATTGACAGATCCCACCCTTAAAAATCGTGCATATATACTTTTCTTATTTAAAACAGATATGTCTTCTCGTTTCTCATTTCGCAAACTTTAATGTTTAATATCAGACGTTTCCATTTAGATCGAGTCGTCTTTAGTATTGCATTATTCAGTCTTTGCGTAGTTGTACCAGTAGTTTCCAAACGATTTAACCACCCTCAATCGACCTAAAATACGCTATGTTTTCTTATTATATCTTCGGAGGAAGTTATAAAAATATACTTGAAAATTTTCGCCGTGAAACTTGTATTACTTTTTGTTATATTAGACATTAACGAAAGTTTATGATTCGTTAGCGCGCTTTGTGGGCGACACGGAGCTCAAATTGTAAGGTTTGATAAGTGGAAAGTTTCAAGCAGAACGTTTTATCATAAAAAGTTGTAAAACATTAAAATCGTAACGAGTTTCGCAGGCTCCAAGAAATTCACATCGTTTGCGACTGCTTTAGCGGTGAACTTGGATCGAATCCAATGCGGCTGTTGAATATTTCTTTTTATATCGTTTCGTTTTAAAATTACTTTTTATTCCCCCTACCTCCTTCCTCGACATTATAGGGTATAAAAACTGTGAAGCAGTATAATAGTCGCGTATCGATATTCGAACGTAATTGTTTCGTAGAATTTCTTACGTTGCAAGCTAGAACTGGATTTAATTTAATTTAAAATAAAGCATCTGTAAATTTTTTACAGAGATGAATTGCTTGTTGCATCACATTCGATCGATCGATCGGTTTGGTCAGCCCAGACCACCATTTAAACCAGCGAATTTCGTTTTCTAAACCACGCCATCCTAATCGATTGGATTATCCAGGCCATCGAAAGTTGCCTTTTCCCTCTTGAGCCCACTGTTCCAAATCTGTCGGTCCCGGTAATACGTATAATATGTTCTTTAAAATTCAAAGCATCCTACGTAAGGTAAAAGAATCGATCGGTTAGTTTGGTCAGTCCAGACCACCATTTAAACCAGGAAATTTAGTTTCCCAAACCACGACTTTCTCCTTAAACTCAATATTCCAAAACTATCCGGTAATCTTGCTTATTTTTCGAAACTCAGAACATCCTCTGTAAAGTGAAAGCATCGATCGATCAATTTATTGCACCTAGACCCACGGATTAAACCTGTTTCGTTTTTAAAAATCAACAGGCTCTCTCACGAGCTCAGTGTTCGAAAATTGTTGGTTCCGGTGCTATAATTTGTTCATTAAAATTCAAAGCAACCTGCGTTGGACGAATCGATCGATCAGTTTGGTCAGCCTACACTCTCTATTTGAACCAGTGAATTTCATTTTCTAAACCGAGGAGCCATCCTAATCGATTGGATCAGGCTGTCGACAATTTCCTCTCGAGTTCAGCGTTCCAAAACTGTCGGTCCCAGCACCGTCGTCGCGAATCCCGTTAATATTAGTACCAGAAGCGCGAATTAGCGTAACGGGACGCATTCGACGAGTAATGGCTGGTCCCTTGGAACATTTAGGCGAAACTCCAGGCGACTACAGAGAACTGGGATACAGCGGCACGGAGGGAGCCGGGGTTGCCGAGAACGGGTCCTTGGCGATCCCACGAGTATCCAGAGATCACGCCGGGTTCTATCTGTGCCAGGCGAGCAACGGCATTGGCCCCGGCCTCAGCAAGCTCATTCGGCTAACAGTTCATGGTAAAATATTCACGCAACACGGAGTTACCGTCGGGCTGGATCTGTGTCAGCCGTCGTGCTCACGAACTTGGGATTCCAGCCACGGAATTCTTCGTTCCGCGACCAAAATTCGGCTCACGAGCCCAACGATCCAGGGAAATGCCCGCAGGAAGTGTTTCTTGCCGAGATGTGTGCCACGAAAACGCGCGTTCCCACGAAGCTTGTTATCCCGAAAGCTGTTGCTACGAGACGTGGAATTTACCGGATAATTTCTGTTAGCCTCTGTCGCGAATAATTTCTTTCCTTATTATATCGTAACGCATTATACGCTGAAGAATTCTGGTGGTTAGTTAAGATTGCGAAAATAGCGAAGCTTTTCCAACTCTCGAACCGACAGTAGGTTTCCTAACAAGCTGAACACATAGCAATCAGGATATCTAACACACTCTGACTTTGTTACCTCAACTTAAACTCATCCCGCAAGTTATACTATATCCACTGGTCGCACGGGATTAAATTAGATTATTGCAACCCATGCAACGGAGTTGCGTTCGCATCGCGATATTACTGATCTCGACTAACTACGCTTAACATCGTTTGCCTCTATACCACATAATTTTTGTTTCCGCGTACCATGAAACGCGTGCAATATTTTAGAGCGTCATTAATCCTGGAACACAACGCCCGCGTGGTACGTAACTTCGTTAACACTAGAGAATTCTGCGTCTCGATCGCCGGAAAATATGTTCCACTTTACGCGGTCGAAAGAAGAAATATTCGAAAGATTAAATTTCTATCATAGACCCGGTATCGAATACGGCTTCTACTTTGCAGTTTATCGGAGCGTAAACGCGTTTCGTAAAAATTGCAAATAAATCGATGATAAAATGGAGCGGGGGGGTATGGGATGGCCTGCTATGTATAACGTTCCAGGTTTAATGTTTCGCGCCCGAGTTCGCGGAAGGAAATTTAATGAATTTTCCAGCTCGCCGCGAAAAAGTTCTGAAATTAACGATTAACCGCTCGAAGGTCCAACTTCGACGAACGAATTGTGCAAGTTTCGCGTCTTCGGCGGGGAATCGATAAACTCCTTTCGCGACGATACGATTCTTCCGCACACTCTGGCGGGCATTTCCCCGACGGGGAAACGAACGGACGGAAATTAATCCGCGATTCCTGGTACAGCGGGCCCTCAGATATCGGTGAAAACGAGACAGGAGTCGGTGCGACGAGGGGAGAGCGTGACTCTACGCTGCGAGGCCGAAGGAGATGCTCCTCTTGATCTGAGCTGGCGTGCACGTGACAGCAGAGTCGATCCCAACTACGATGTTAGGTTTGTATCGAAATTAATCAAGCCCCTTCCCATCCATACTGCGAACCTCGCGTGGCCCCCACGCCGCACGCACGATCGATGAGACTGACACTTCGATCTCCTATCGGGCACCGGAGGGCACATGTTAATTACAACGGAAGTCGCTCGAGACAGGCCAAATAACGTAACGCAAGCGGCTAAGAAGAAACGTCATCCGTCGAAATTAGCCCCCATCGAAACGAATTACAGTGGGAAAAAAGCGAATTGGAATAGGTAAATTTCTGTTTTAAAGATTTCGAGGCTCGAATATCAACTGTTTTCCCAAAGTTTCGAAGATGGCAAGATACTCGTTGCTGAGAAAAACGCGACGGTGATGGAAGCTATCTTTCTCCGAGAGTGCAAAGTACACGACTCGACGCCACGGTTGTCGAGTTTCCTTGTAACATTTTCCCAACAACGGCGCTCCTTCATCACGGAATTATACCGTTCATCCCTTGTTGCGGTTCCCGCTAACTTTGGCTCACGCAAAATTACTCCCGCACCGCGGGTGACGTTCATCAATAATTCCCCGGCGCAGCCTCGTCAACAATCTATCGAATCCCGCGGATCTAGTGCGTAGTTCGCGCACCACGCCGGCTGGAGCTTCATAGGATCGAAAAAACACAACAGAACCCGGCTAGAGCCGCGATCCATCACGTTACCACGCTGTGCAACTAGGCTCACGACCGTCCAATCCCTGTGCAAGGTGTATTATACTCTGACAGGAGAGTGGACCCCAGAGAAAATTTCCTTATTACTCCTATACTCGAAAATTATGCAAATTGATCGCAAGTATTTTTATCGAGAAATGTGCTTCAATTTTAGCACGGACAAGGTTGTAGACCAGTCCAAGTATCCCCAATAGTGACATTGCAAAATGTCCATCTTTCTTCCGACCAGGTACAACATAGATAACACGAAGTCGTCGGATCGCGTAATCTCCGATCTGCGGATCATCCAGGCGAATAACATCGACAGCGGCGACTACGTGTGCGTCGCGACGAACGCGTACGGTCACGCCAGGGCGACGATCCACTTGCTGGTCCAGGAACCACCGAATTTCCCACGGAACGTACACGTGTCCAACCAGGGCAGCCGGTCTCTGACGTTGGCCTGGTCGTCGCCGTCCAGCGAGCAGGATCCAGCGCACGCCAGCTCGCCCATCACCAACTACATCGTCCAGTACAAGGAGGCCCAAGGTACGTTCCCCAGACTCGCTTTGTCCACTGTTCTGTACACGACTGCCGCGATGTATTGGTCGACGCGCGCGATTATCGATCGAGAAACGCTGTCCATCGTGGCAACCGGGTCGCAGGCTCCAGGAAGCTTCCCAGGTAATTATGTACAAAAACTTACGCCCCATCGACGGGCCTTCCCTCGTGATATATTACGCGGAGCGTTCCACGAACCTAAAGAGTTCCATGAAAATCGAGGGGCAAACGCTTCGTGGATGTTTTCCTTCGTGGCACGGTTTTGCAGTATAATCAACTATTTAATCGAGTAAACGTTTCGACTGAATAATTAACACGGAGTTTCTATTCGTCACCTATTACCAGAGCGAAATTCTGCTCACCTTTGACGCGCTGTCTTGAATTTAGCATAAGCGTCGTTTGAGCGTAAGCGTCCTCCGAGTCTCTCTGGGATTTCTTGCCTACGGGGGAACTAGCGTGAATCGAGCTTAATTCCGCGCGAAAATTTCTCTTTCCCAATTCTAACGCGATCCGTGCTCGTTCGAGCAATTTCGTCTCGCGCCTACGAGATACCCAGGAAGCTTCCTGCGACATTGGACTCTGCCTCGAGGCACAGAGGCGTGTCTCGGCACCGTGTACCGCGTCGTGGCTCCGATTGATCGCGGCCAAATATGCGTATTGTGGCACAGTGCGCTCGATTGCGTCGCGTAGAACCGGAGTACGGAATCCTCCCACGCGTCCACACGCACCGCGTAGAGAACGTTAGACTCATTTTCATTAGATACGCATATTCATAGTGCACTCCGTTGACGTTCCACGGCGCCGTCGTGCCTCTCCATGGAACAAACTCAAGAATCACCCGTCGGTGTTATCTCGCAGGAAAGAACAAATATTATAAGAGAGAACGCGGGGTATTGTTTCTGTAAATGGCGCACTCGCGGCTGGCGAATTCAGAGTCGAATGGTTTTCGTTAAATTATGGCCGGAACACTCCGCTGGTTCTCGTAGAAATCCGATGGAAGATTATACCGAAGTGTTTCTCGAAAATTATTAGCATAAACACGCTCGCGGATAGTTGGCTCTAGCCGTTTCTATTCTGCTCCAAAGTACGACATCGAACATCAAACGTTCCAGTGGCCCGATAAAACAATGTACCGCAAGCGTTAAGAAGTTATCTGGTAACGAGACCGAAGAGTAAGAATCCGCAAACAGCCCGGAGGTAGCCGAATTGCTGCTAGGCGGATCCCTGGCAATTCGTACTGTATCTCCCCGCCATAATTAACCGTCGAACACGCTCTAGCGAAGTTCCAAGATACACATCTGCAACGGAGAGCAAGAACTCCGCGACTTTGCAATTACACGGGTTGTCGTGTCTCCGGCGTCCTGGCGCTGGTTTATTCCGACGCTGCGGGTAGCGAGGTTGCCAGGAACGGCCCTCGATGTTCTTTCCGTGGTCGACGTGGCCGAGACGTAAGCCGATATCGTAAAGGTAACGGATACGCCAACGTTCCCAGATTACCTTCTGGTGGCCTGACTTTGCCTCGCCGGAAATGGAGCGCATCGTACGCGGAGCGCAGCGTCTCTCGAATCGGGCTCAACGTCCAGGAAGGGCGACGGAGTGGTTAACGGGACGTGGTCAGATTTCGACTCGGGGTTAAGATCGATCGAGAGAACGAATTACGAAGACTTACAAGACAGTCCACTTCGCGGAGGAGCGAACGGATAACCGGGGATAGGTGATTTATCGCTTTGACATCCGCGGCAGGAAAAAGACTCTCCGGGAGCTGCTTTGGAATTCAAATTGCGACCTATTCCGTCGCTACGGGTGTTATCCGTCGCGTCGACGAGATATCCCTCCGAGTCCCTTGACTTTGCCCGACGTTCTTTGACTCGATCCTAATCATTTCCGAGAGATGAAACGCCCCGGATGCCTTATTGGTACATCGTAATCTTTGGAAAACTTTTCCACCCGTCTGACTTATTTACCGCCGTACTACTTACTTTTTCATGGCCGGCTTTCCGACGGATCCCCGACCGACTACGCGGGCACAAGGCAGTCACGAACGGGACGTTTGGCCCGAGAATGTTCCTCGATGGTTCTTAGAGCAGATATCCGGATGTCCAGAATATTTGAAAAACGCTGAGCTCGTCGTGCGCGCGGCCACGCTGTCGACCGAATCGATTCCTTCCTCGACACGTAGCAACGAAAAAGGTCCTTATAGATTTTTGGATATTTAGGGCAATATCCCGGAGAATCCGGCCATGTCGGAGAACTTGGGAAGGAGAGGACTCGACTTGCCCCGGCCCTTACATATTTCACCGAACCAAAGCCGCCGCCTTTGCGCGGCAGGGCTAGCGGGAGCAGCAAAATTCTTCGATTTTTTATTCAGTCTCGTGGATGGAATACTTTAATTTAAACCCTGTTCTTAAAATAAATTTACCAGAGGTTAAAGACTACGGGCAGATACAGAGCGCGAGCAACTCGGGGAACTGCAAATTGATGGTATAAATATTTCTTTATCAGAGTTCGTAATTCTTTGTGCATTTTGCCTTGCTATTAGCCTAATATATGCCTACATAAAGATAGACCTGGTAATTAAAACCGTACGATGACCAAGGCTGCTTCATATTCAGTTGCCCACTAAGCGTTAAAGTGAATTCCAGCATGGTGATTAATATTCTTTAATTAAGAAAGAATCTACAGAGAAGTTCGCGCTAAGCGTACTTTTGGCTTTCAAATTTTCTAAAGGAGCTTCCAAAATTTATGGTAGCATTATTCTGAAATTCAAACACCTGCTTTAAGACCGAGGTCTTTGGATATTTATTAGTGTGAAGACTCTTTGAAGTAATTTAATTATTAAACAAATAATTCAAAGAAACCGAATCTCCACCAAATTCTAGTGTTCCATTACTCGGTGTTGATTCCTCGATGATGATCGCAATGTTTGAGAACCTACGATCGAATTTTCTGCGTAACGTCACGATTCAATTTCAGCCTTCTTCGTTCGCGGAAAGTTTCTCGGATATTTTGATTGCTTTCCGAGCCGACTATAATTATCGTTTCATTATGGCCGGCTTGTCGAAAGAAGTTTGATTCGCAGCATCTTGGCGAAGCCACATTAAGACTTCATTATTGGACTGTCAGGCTCGATCTCAAGTTTAATCAATACCTGTCGCGACTGGGGAGGCAATCGAGAGGAATGAAATTGTAGCGCAATATGGCAAACAATATACAATCAATCTACCAACGATCGTGGCCGCAGGATCGTTCCTTTCCTACGTATCAACAAACTCCTCGATCCTTCCGCGACTTCCCCAAACTGATTGCACATTTTAATCTTCTCCTATATTAGTTGAATCAACGTTTGAGAATCCTGACGCGTTCGGATTCGACGCACCGAACCGCGGGGATAGGAATTTTGTTCGATAATAAAATTTTAATAAAACGACGAGCGGAGTCTTGCATCGATCCGCGCAGATCGATGAGAAAAAAGAACGACAAACAATCCCGCGCCGCGATTCTCGGCGACGGGGGCCAATTCGCGGCCCTCGGTTTTTACATTTTAATGGAAAAATTAATTTGCCCGTCCTTCGAGAGCCAGCCTCCTTCGGCTCGCGGTCTTCGTATCTATATACCAGTCGGCCAAAGTTTTTCAATTTTCAACGGAAACCTCGACCAGCGAATCAAAACGTGTTGCTCGAGGTTGGTGCAAAATTCCATGGAAAACCGTTCTTATTATATTGGAGGATATTTAATTACCGCAACGTCAGAATGGCCTGATCCTTCTGTCAAGAAAGGATCGTCGCGTGGCGTTATACGAGGGTTGTTATGCAACGAATGGTACAATCAAGAGAGACAGGTGATTCCACGTGCGATAAACAGGATAGAATCGTCATGGTATTTTTAATTTTCTCGAAAATAAGGTACTGTGTGAACGATTTCGATGCACCCTGTATAGCGAGACAAGGGTCGGGTCACTTTTCAGGAAAGCGTCGATGTAGACGAAGTTTGCCACGAAGTCTACTTCTTCTTTGTCTCCGCTTTATTTTCGCGCCGGGAAAGTTCCCTTTGAGAGCGCCCGCGCGTCCCCTTCGGCCACAGGACCCGGTCCCTCGTTAACTTCGGATGTCCTCATTTACGCCTAATCGACTCGAATCGCCCGGCCGGTGCTAAATTATCGAACTTAACACATGGAGAGGCAGCCGGATCGTCGGTCGGTGTTAACGCGCGTGAAACACGTTTTCAGAGCAAGCACCGAGTCGAGAATTCGTTATCACCGTCGCTCGTAATTTCTTGGTAGCTTCTTTCGGGGGTTCATTGTAAATTGTCGCCGGCGACGAGAGCGACCGGGATTCCGTGGATTCGGGAGTTAGCGAATTATTTTATAGCTTCTCGGTCGAGAACAGTTTTACGCGAAATCGTAGTCGTTGGCGTAAGCGAATACCTGGTCCGAATTAACGGGTATTAGAGGGGTGGTAATAGAAACCGCACGAGCACCGAGTTTTCACTCAATCAGAGCGAAGCACGCTTGATTAAACTTGGAGCGCTTTCGAACGGGAGACGCGTCGCCTCGTGCCGCTTCGATGCTCGAAGCTTTCGTCGGAGTTGCCTCCCCCCCCTTGAACTTTGCCTTTTCGTCGAGCGATCGCGTCTCCATCAGAACGGGGATTTCGTGCAATTGGGTTTTTCGTCGACCGCGGACCGGTCGTTCGCCCGTACGTTCGATTTTTCGACCGCTTTGAGGCGGATTACTGCTACCCCCGTCGGGATACGATAACGGCCAACTAATTCCGTCGGTCGGGATAACCTAATTTCGAGGGCACCTAACGTTATCTTCCATGTTTCCATGGTTGCTCGAAACAATCGAACTACCGACCACGAAGTTGTTCGGATCGAAATTGCGAATTATTTACATTCCCTTAGCTTCTGAATCGAACTTGTACAGTACTCTCAAAGAAATTAATTTTCTATTTCCATAAGCGCGTGGTGAAATAGCGGATAGAATTGAATTCCGCGTGGCTCGTAGCGAAGCAATCGCCGGCACAAATAGGTTAATTGATACTCGAACTAACGCGATATCCGGTTGAATCTGCAGAAATAGCAAAACTGGCGCCAAATATTTTGATCACTGGATCTCACTGTTCTGCACGCGTATCAAATTTGTATCCTCTCGAGGCAACACGTTTGGTCCATAATGATAGGTGCTCGTTTAACGAGTTGAACGAGAAGCAGTTCCGCCTCAATAGCGAAAAGAGGCATACCAAGTATGCTCGTGCGGTAGTTACGGTCGCTTTCAACTATTTTGGCCTAACGTAAGAGTATAGGGCGGTGAAAATAATTGTAACCGACTAAGCTAGGAAAAATGATCGAAAGCGCGTCGTAAATTTGCTCGACTATCCTATCGACCAACGTTGCACAAGCCCTCTAAGCGTTGTCGTTGCCTTTTGCTGGAAAGACGTGTGGCATGAGCACAACACGCAGAAGATGGTGGCAGGGGACAACACGGTCGCGCTGATATCGCCTCTAAAACCGGCGACTTCCTACCACTTTCGGGTGCTTGCGGAAAATCATCTTGGAACATCAGCGCCAAGCGACATCCTTCATGTCAGTATCAAACATATCAGCATGCCTCGAAAATTGATCTAATCATTCGCGTGTATCGTCCGAGCCCTGAGTTCGGGACTGGGCGTGCCCTCGCCTCCGACTGACGATTTGCTTTTATTCCCCCGTTGGTTTCGACGACAACAGACCCAAACGGACGGCGAGATACCGGGTGGACCGCCGAAACACGTCACCGCCGAGCCCATCGGACCCCAGCAAGTGAAGGTGACCTGGCAACCACCGGATCGATCCCTCTGGAACGGCGAACTTCTCGGATACACCATCAGCTACGCCAATCTCGGGTATCGTTATCCGCTCACGGCTGTTTAGAATAGTTTCTAGCACACTTCGGGAACGTAGAATCCGTCGTGGAAGCTTCGTTCCGACGATGGGGCTCGAATCTTCCCCGATTATCGCGACGATTCCGCGACAATGGCCCGGCGATCGGCGCGCGTTTCCGCCGCCGTGGGACGCGGATAATCGTCGAGCTTTGTTCTTGAAATTCTCGAAACCGATGTTTCGCGAACGGTCGCCGACTCGTTCATGCGCGACGCGCGAAAGATAATGTTTCACGGTGGTCGTTCTCTGCATTCGAAACCGTTCGCAGTCTACGTTGTTCGCGAATCAGATATTTCGCGTTACGAGCAAACGATCGCAATCGCGTCTCCAGGATTTTCACTCGGGCAGAAACATAGAATTTAAATTTCCTCGAAAAACTCTGGAAGCGTAGTCGTGTTTCAATTATCCATTAAGGGCGGAACACAGGATCGATCGAGCGTATTATTCCTTATTTTCGCGGGTTCTAATAACCAGTTGAGTCTTGACCAACGGTTCGGAAACATCTGGGACAACGAAAATTCCAAGAACACTCTTGAGAGTAATAAGCTCCGATCGTTGAAAGGGGAGGGGGCGGAAACCGATCGAGAGATATTAATATTCGTCAGGAGGGACGAGCTCGGATTAGAGTCGTTGCGAAACTTTGGACGCCGCGTCTCCAGCCGGAATAATCAGATTCTTCGGAGTCCCGGATTCCGGGGAGGATTCTTTTTTGCCCGATCCTCTCGATTCTAATTCGCGAAGAATCGCGCTGGCTCGTCGCGAGCCGGGCGGAAGCGCGACCGTGCGCCCCGAATCGGTCGTCCGGACGCTCGAACTTCCGGAACGTTCCTCCTCGCTGGGCGGGAAGGAGAATTTCATATCGGCGGGACCGGGGATACCGGGGTATCGGGGAAAGTTCCCGGAATCAGAAGACCATTTTTCGCTCCAGTTTCCCCGGGATGGCTTTAAGTATCGTCGAGTTCCGCGCGTTCCTTCCCGCGCTTTATCTTTCCGGCCCGTGGCACATCGGCCGTGGCTTTATTTCAGAGGGAATGATCAATCGGTGAACATCACGAGAGTGGGAATCACTGGAAACGGGGACGGATCCTACGATTACAGCCTAACCGGCCTTCGAAAGTACACCCAGTACAGCGTCGTGGTGAAGGCGTTCAATAATAAAGGCGACGGCCCAGGATCTGACTCAGTCACTGTCCAGACCCTCGAAGACGGTGAGCATATTTTCTTACAAAATTCTGGACACTCAACAGTAGTAGTTAAAGATCCCAGAGTGGAGTAACAACTTCGGAGTATCAAGATATAATGTAACGAATTTTATTATTTTCTCGTGCCATTTTCAATATCTATAAAAGACGAAGCGTCGAAAAGATTATTCATAATATACAGAAAAACAGCCAGCGCTCTGGACCCAGGGGTAATGCAAAAAATTCAACAAATTTGCACACGGGATGCATTTCACGAGACAAGAATCATGAATTTACAACTTCCTGTACTCTAAATAACCTGTTGTTTCAACTTCTCGAGTTTGCCTGAGCGAGCATTAACATGTCGAAGTTGGTCCGCGTAACGTTCCATTTAAACCAGTTAAGACGACTGAGAGTCTCCATGTACAAAAACTACTCTCGTCGTACGGGATATTTCCCTTGTCGCTGGAAAGTTTTTGCAACGCTGTCTCCGTTGTTTAAAATGACGCGACTGTTTGGAACGAAGTTGTTACTTCTATCTGTACACGTAAAGACGAACGAGAGCGTCCGAGCAACACCCTAATCGGAAACGTATCTTCGTTGATCGGATCTTAAACAGCGCCATAATCTACCGAGGTAAGATTGTCCTGATTCCATCTATCGTTTCCGCACCGTTAATCCCAGCTAGCTCTCCATGAGATGAAATAACACCGGATACAGTGTACACTGTGAATCCCTTGTGCCCCTAAAGGGGAATGTAACGATTGGACAAATCACTGTAGATGTACGTTTATCTTCCCTGTTCACAGTCTCGGAATTTTAAATATGAATTCAAATAATTAGCAGCGTTACGGGACTTTGAATCGAACTCTACACGTTCAAATTTAAAAGTCTCGATCATTTTGCCTTTTAAAATTTTGAATGAAGAATGTCAAACAGCGCCGATTTTCGCGCTGATCCGATTATTCCGTCGCGGGAAAGAAGATCGTAAAGTACCCTCAATTTTCGGGCCGAAACGCGTCTTATTTGCTCGCGAAGATGGCGTCGAGCGACTACGGAAGCGGCTTAAAAACATCTCTGCGCGGAATTCTGCTCTGTTACCTAGATCTCGAGAAAGAGTGCATTTGCCCGACATTTCGCTCGACCGCGGTAGCGGAAATGCCTTCCGACCGCGTTCTATTTTCCGTTCTGTTTCGTTCGCCGCGAAAAAATTCGGAACAGCGAGCCGCGATCCATCGAACGAGCTTCCTCGGAAGAGGGCTCTTTTGTGCGCGCGAAAACCGCGGAGAAAGTGGATCCCTTTGTTGGGGGGAACGCGCGCGCGTCAGTCGATCGTGTGCCTGTTGTTCTACATCGCGACGCGGTTGTTTGACACTCGACCGAGTAAACGATATTCCGATGAGAAAGAATCTCGTTTCGAACCTGCATCTTTTCACCCCGGCCCTTCCTGAACGGTAGTGAAACGGGAAAGCTACTTGGGAATAAGTCGCCTCTCACTTCCAGAGTACACGTGTCTTCGGAATAAAGAGCAACCAAATATTTTCGACACTCGAACAAATAATCCTTCAAACAAAGGACCACCCCTTTATCCAAACCTCCCAACGAACTCGATTAAGAACGTTTGGGAACGATTGGAAATCCAGATGCTAGCAAATTCTCCTGAAAACATCCCGTCGGAACCTATCGTCCCGCTTGGGATTCCTAGTCGGATCCTCGAGCGATCGACGCTCTCGTTCACGAATTCCAGCCCCCTCCTGGAGGACTCGCGGACGAAACGTCGAAAACCGCGGCCCTCCGCAAGGAGGAGGCCCGGTTCGACGAAATTCACGATACGATTTGACGCAGTTCCAAGCGCCCCGCCGCAGAACGTGGCCTGCGCCGCGCTGACCGGGCAGAACATCCAAGTGACCTGGAAACCGCCGCCTTCCGACAAAGTTCACGGGGTCGTGCAAGGCTACAAGTTGCTGTACGAGGCGGCCAGCGCGGTTCTGGAACAGCAGGCGGGCAGAGAGACGAAAATCAGCTACGCGTTGAGCACGGTGCTCCATGGACTAAGCCCGTACACCAATTACACGGTGCAGGTGCTCGCCTACACCAGGGCGGGCGACGGCGTCACCAGCAGTCCGGTCTCCTGCACCACCGAAGAAACTGGTAAACGATGTGTCACTCTGTTCGCGACAGGAAATTTTAGACAGAGTTTGAGGGGGGTGGGGGCAGTTTCCTCAGACGGTTCGATGCTTTACGGCTCCCCGCGTGTCAATAGGTGGATCAAAATCGAGAGAACTTAGCTTTCGAACCACTTTGACATTTCAATGTGGTTCGTCAAATTTAAAATTTATTTAGAACACGGTTCTTGCTTTAGATTCAAATATTTTTTATTCTGTATTTAAAAGGTACATTTAGCGACTTTACGTTTTGGGGGTTTTCGGCCAGGTTTCCTCGGTTTTTCGAGCGGTAGACGGTCGCCGTGGAGAATCGAGTATCGGGTCATTGAAATTTTAATGGCGCCGCGATGTTAATGGCGGTATCGGTGTCGTTGGAATATGAAAATTGCTTCCCTGGAGCGTCGATGGGATTTTCGAACCGCCTAAAGACGTCTGCAGCGAAGGAGCGAAACTTAAGAAAGTCTTGGAAACGTTTTGCTAGGACTTACACGATTGAATGCCTTGAGAATTTAGTTAATTCTCGACAGTCTTAGATGGCTTGGAAGTCTCGAGTATCTCGGAAGTTGCAAATGTTTTAGAATTGTTGAACCATTATAATCCAAACTATTTTTAGTTTCTGAAACAAGGTGTGTAGCAGAACGATAAACATTGACGATGAAATATTAATTGAAAATTGAATTCTAATAAAAATCAGTCTTCCATCTATGATCCCGTTAATTAATGTAACGAGAAAAAGATTAAAAATGATACAAAATGCACTGTATAATATTAATGCGGTAAAATTCGATTGTATTATTATTTAAATTTCGTTCGGATGCTGTACCGTCACTACGCTCGTTTCGATTGAAGATGGTATCGATTTTGTTCTGTCGTTTAATAATTCGTCCACTTCATAATCTCTCATTACGCGTTCTTTATGTGCATTTTAACCAGAAAGTAGAACGTTAATGGAAGTACAATCCCTGGAACGTATATTCCCCGGTTTTTGTAATTATTGTCCGTGTCTTACATCTTCACAAATTTCGACATAGTTTTCATCTCTGTACCAGTTCATATATGACATTAATTATTACACATTAGTAACACTTATTTCGTACAATGCATGCGGATTACGCTGACAAGTGTTCTACGTTTAAACTCTGTTATATTTTTTCACTCTGCGTTAATATATTACTTCAGACGTGCAGGTACTTCTTCAAAAAAGTTCCGTCGCGATACATTTTCGTATTTTAAATTTACACGAGCTGAAAACGAACATGCCCCAATGAACTGGAAACAGTTTCTAGAGATGTAGATCATCGAGCAACTTGAAACGAACTCGATTCAAGACAACTTTCTGAACCGTCTGAGATACGTAAACCGAGGCGCGCGAAGATGCCGGGAATGTTATTCTAAGAAACTGTAAGTGTCGGTGCCGTAATTTACACTCGATATGAAACTCAAACCGGGATGAGCATTAAAAGATAAATTCAGAACAACCTATCTCTTACACAGGATGAAGTCATAAGTAGATTGCACAAACAGTTCGATCAACCTCTCATTTTCAGAAATGGATTCAACTCGCGGTGGTTTTTTGATATCGTTTCATCGAAACGCGTGAATCTTTTCGCGCTGTTCAACGTCGAGGATTCGCGCCCCGCGCTGCACTCGTCTCTTTCTCGCGAAGATATAAAGAGCCAAGCAAAGCGAAACGAATCGTTATCACTGAAAGACTTCCATTCGACGGTTCTCGATTACCGTCGTTGCATTTATATTTTCGTGGCGGAGACGAGTGCTCGCGCAGCAGCCGCTTGAAAATTCCGACCGCGGGAGGAAGCCACTTGCAGCCAAATTCCGTAGAATCGGCTGTCGCTGCTCGAGAGGGAAACGGTTCTGAAAGAGTCAATGACAGAAACTTTAACGCGCCTTTGAAGTAACATTATACAGCAACCCCTTGCGCTCTCGTTTCGCGCTCGTTTCGCGGAAACTCCAGCCGGCGGCGGCTGGTTTTCTATTAAACGCAGCTGCCGCCGAAATTTCGCGAAATTGGTCGCGAATAATTGTATCGTTATCGCGAAATTCATAATAGACCGGCGAGCCGTATCGCGCCGCGGCCGTAATCGAAATTTCGTGTATCGCAAAGAAAACGCGACCTGGTGCACGCGTGTTCGCCGACTGTAGAAATTTGCCAGCGAGCCAGCCACGTCGACGGCCCCGGCTCGATCCTCAAATCCCGCGGATTACTCGTTGGCTTTTGTGAATAAATTCCGGGGCACCGATCGTTCATTTCTGTCTTGCGCCGCCGATACAGAGTGGCTCTTTATCGCGTGTCGATGTATCGAGAATTAAATGCATAACGTTATCCGGAGACGAGAATGTTATATGGAGATTGAACGCCACGAGTTTCATTTCCAAATTACGATTCGTCCAAACAGCCACTCTACAGGGTGCTCCTAAACGTCCAAACTCGGAATACCAATTTGAGATCGGGGGAGAATTTTTATTCCTTTTTCCTGCACTCTGTTTACCATTTTGAGTATTCATGCGCGACTAAAAACCGCACTGTGTTATAAATATCTGCCATAAAGCGCGACCCATCGACCAGGTAGGCATTAAAGGCTGAATGCATCGATTCTATCGATATTGCCAATAACGTAAAAGATCCTGAGAATTGATGTCTGACCGTGTTATGTCAATATCTCTCTCCTTCGTACGTGGACCATAAAGTATTAACGTTATTTTCCACGATTACTTTTCCAACTGGCCTACTACTTCGGATAAATATCGATCGGCTCGTATCATTCACGCGAAATGTTTCATTGCGATTGTTTCAACGCGAAGTGACTTGTTCGGTGGTTTGTATCGAGTTATAGTAACGTACGGTTTCAAGAAGAGTGAATAGGACGTAACCCTGTGGGACGATTGCCCCAACCAACATCGTTTCAATCCCTTAAATTTCTTCCCTCGTCAGGCTATTGGAAGAATTTATTGCAGTTTTTTAAGTATGATTTATGATCACAAATTTGAACAATGTTCTTTTTGTAGCATGCCCCAGCTTAAGACGTTCTCGCGCGAAGTGTACATTTAATTAGAAAGTAGTTACCCGTAAAATCTGCACCGACCTAACTACGAAGACGCGCAAGCAAACTTTATATTGATACGATAACTTGAGTAATTTTTGCTTGAGAATGAAATTAGACTCGTACCTGTGTTGGTCGAGTCCAGGGATTTAATTTTGAACTTTGAATTTTTCGTAATAAACGTAATATTCCCGGACGGTAATTCACGGCGTAAAATATGATTAAACTCGTTGAACCTTTTGCTCGAAATATTTACGACGATACGATAATTTTTCAGTCGGCAGTATTCGACAGAATCCACCCGCGTAATTGTTTACGAGGACCATCGAAGCCCAACGATCTTCATAATCATCGTTCAATAGTTTCTCTCGCTCCTTTCGAAACGGACCATTTGCCTTCCACAACGATCTCCTATTCTGTTCGTCGTCGGTGCAGTAAACTCTCAGCGATTTTCCCGAATTTCGCGAACAATGCGGCAACGAACTTCCGCCAAGACGTTCCTTTCTCGCAGAGGCTCGAAATCGGTTTCCTCCATCGTCGTTCGATTGTTGGCGAGAACGGCATTTCCGTGGCCCGCGCGCCCGCCGGAAATGCAAAAAGCCAACTAAAAGCGGTTTCTCGAGCTTCGAAATCCGATGTCAACAAACGACGTAACGATGTTGGTGAAACTTCGTACAGAACCGTCAAAATTTGAAACTCGAATCTGGGCGGGATTTAAAAATTGACACTCGGGTTATTCTATCCGAGTGCAAAGTAAAATAGAATAGTTTTTCAGTAACCATTTCCAGGGGAGTTTCTTTGCAACGTTCTTCGAATGGCTCGACCAGTAAATTAGTACCGTCTAGGTTTCAGCCAGGTTTTCCGGGATTTCCGAGCACTTTGTCCCGGGCGGTTCTCGTTTTCTCCATCGACATCCGCCATTACGGTACCGTTCTGCTCACAGTTCCGGACGCACCGGACCGTGTGAAGGCCGTAACCAGCAACGAGGACGCGGTGGTGATATCCTGGCTGCCGCCGCGACGGCCGAACGGCGTCCTCACCAAATACACCGTTTACATTCGGGTGTTGGACCAGGGCCAGGAGGTGAAGACCACTAAGAGCTCGCTGCCTGCGCAGAACTTGCACCACGAGGCGACGGGGCTGAAACTGCGCGAGTCCTACGAGGCCTGGGTTACGGCCTCGACCAAAGTGGGGCAAGGACCTAGCACTCCGGTCATCAAACTTCAGCTGAGCAATACCGGTAAGCCGTGGCAGCTTTCGCGAAACTTCCCGGCTCGCCTGGATCGTTCCTCCCTCGAGGAATCGATTCGACGTTCGAGCGCCATCGATCCGCGCGCGCGAAAATCGAGCCAACGAATGCGAAACTTTTATACGGAAAATTCGCGAGACGGGTCTCCCGAGGACTCGAATCCCGGCTCCGTGTTTCAGCTATTTTTTCCGATGTTGAATTATAACGTGGCTCGCGTAAAATTACACGGGACTTAAGTCGTCATATCATCTCGAATTTGTTTAAGAAATTTTAATAAGAGGTGAACTCGTGGCTGTGAAAACGATTCAGAAATTGAGGATTCTGGATTGTTTTCGCAACCTCAAAGGCTCTACCTTTTTTCTCCTTGCCAAACAAAGGTAAACTCCTGGTAGTTGTGAGAGCATTCTAGAAATTGGGGATTCTGAATAGCTTTCATAACCACGGTTTGCCTTTTCCCCCTGAGCATACTGGGAGAAAGAGGTTGAACTCCTCGTGGCTGTGAGAGCATTCTGGATTGCTTTTTACCTTTTTTCTCATCACCATGCTAGTTGATCGAGAATTATCGTTCATTAATAATTGGATGGAACAGCAGTTTCAACGTATGATGGCGATTCGAAGCTGCTGAAATTGCTCTGCGCCACCCTGCGTGCAATATGCACCCACCCTAAAAGTCCTCGATGGTTCGTTTGATGCACCTGGAATGTTCAGACGGTGCCGTCTTTGCGCTTCTTCGCGTTTAAGTTTGACGAAGTTCGAAGGGTGGGAGTGGTTCGTCGAGGCGACAGGAGAATCACAGACTGCGTTAATTAGGAATCGGTGCGAAGTTTCCGATTAACTTTCGCTGTGCATTTTAACCCTCGCGCGGCTGGAGCTGGCTGGCTCTGGACTCGAAGTTATCCTTACCGTCCTGAAATCCATTTCTCACGCCATGTCGTACATGTTTCGTTATCGTCACCCTTACCCCGAAGTCATAATTTATCTTTCCCTGTAAATACGTATTTTGCACGATACTTTGGAATGTTAGTTCCACTATCGAAACTAAACTTTGGGTCTGGTAACTCTAGTCGCGAGAGATTTAGCTTTGGTTAACCCCGGGAAGGTTAATAACCGACCGATACCATTTTCGGGGCCGTGGCAGGTCGTCGATAACGAAAACTGTCGGTCGCAGTCGAATCGCTGAACGGGCGTTTCGTTCTTTAAGTACCGTTGGGAAAAATTCCTGGTCGTAGCTTAGCGACGGAGCTCAGGAGTGGAGGAGTCCACGATGAACTTTCGAAACTGAACTCAAACACGGATCACAGCTCGTAGAAGTTTAACGAAGAGCTAGGGTAACCGGGACTTTTAATTAGTTCCAGCAGCCATAATATCGTTCGGAGTGCCGCTCGTGGTGCCGTGGAGGGTGGACGTCAATATGGCCTGTCTCGCCGTCGGTAATCCACGACCGACGGTGGAATGGCGTCGCGGCGACGTCAAGCTGCAGCAGAAGTAAGTGACGAAACGCGTTACGCGAGATTGCTGTCGCGGCGAATCTTGATCATCGACTTTTCCACGACAGATCCGACATCGGGCCAGACAACGCGCTCACGCTGAGGAACGTGCAGAGAACCCACGAGGGCAACTATTCCTGCCACGTGAAGAATCCCCTCGGTTCGGACGAAATCGCGTACACCCTACAAGTTCAAGGTACGTGGGAGACGGGATGGAATGTTTGACAAACAAATCTAACCGCGTTCGCGTAACCGTTGCTGGGATTTGTTCCTCCCGGCGGTGCACAATATTTTCCGCTAAATTTCAGATTGAAATAACCGAATGATATATGTATGCTAGAGACGTTACACTGTATGCCAACACGTCGACGAAACGTAATAGTACTGGTCTTAATTGTGCGGTTAAAGTAGGAAATACTAAATCGGTTGGGAATGAGTTCAACCGCAACTGAAATAGCCTCCATTTACGGGAACGGAAAATCGACGATTCGGGACGTAAAAGGACAAAAATGTGAAATTATGCACTGCAATGAGCATTCCTTACTTTGAAAGGGAAGAAAGTATGAAACGCACTAACGATTAATTTTTTAATCATGACTGTACGACTGGAACAAAAGGGAATCTGTATCTGGATCAATAATGTGGAAAAAGCATACAGTACGATAAGAAATTTAAATCGCGTTATGGCTTTTGTTAATAAAATAATATGCAATAAATAATCGTTGCTTGCGCGAAACGTAGGTACGAGTCGTTCCATTATACGAAAAAATTCGATTATCCGGGTTTTCTCTCGCCAATTAGTTCGGGTAATCAAAGTTCTACTGTATTATTACGTTTTTCTTCTAACAAAAGTACCCAAAGTCCGACTCGCCGGCCAATCCGGCTCTTTCATTCGATCCATGAACTAAAGTTACAAACAAGTTCGAAAATCTGTATGGAAAATATTAGACGACAATTATTGTGGTTTTTTTTTGTAATTTTAACGAAGTGGTGACATACAACTCTTTGGTGTTTAAGTTGAGGAAAGATTTTAGTAGTTTAGATCGTAAATTGAAGGTTCTTTATAATTTTCAAGAAACTTTGAACCTAATTACGTAAGGAAATTTCAGTATAAGTTCCTTACTAAACTACATACTGAATTTACAAACAGACATCATGAATTTATGCTCGTCATATAATGACCCAGTATCCAAATTTAAATCTTGCGGCTCTTAGACAAAATGGCTACCTTTCCCATGGGTGCCACCTTCTGTAGCAAATTACGATACTGCACTTCCGTTATCGTATCGAGCCACGTTCCGGCCAGATCATCGATCGCGGTTATAATTTTCGCCCCCTGATAATTTCGAAACCCATGGAGAATTAACAGAACAATGAGATTTACCTATACACAGGAAACGTCAGTTTTATTTATATTTCTATTTATGGAAATTTTAACTTTGGGTTATATTACAAAATACCAATTATTATATTGCACGAAAATGAATAAATTCCAAATATATTTCACGGACATACCACACCATTTTACAGACAAAACCTAAATGCATAATTTATACGAAACATTTTTATCTTGAAATAAATTTTAACCTATTATATCCGAATTGAAAACTATCGCTTGAGAATTCTGGTAATACTGTTGGATTTTCGTTGAATATATTTCAAAATAAATTTCATACCGCGATAAATCGAAACGTGCATTTTAATGTCGTCTTTACCCGAGAGTCGGGCCTCAATATCATTTAATTTTATTTGTTCCGTTGGCGAACAAGGTTGCTGCGTACCGGTGACCCATAGAATTATCGAAATTCGTAATATTGCAATTTATGGAGCGTACGTAGATCTACGCGAACGACCGTAACTCGTGCGGGAACATTTTATTTCCCCGCCGAAATCGGAGCGCGAGAAGTTTGTCGCGCACGTACGCCACGGAGAGCAATAATTCCGTTCCCGTTTCGTCGAATCTGTTCGAGACTTTTTGGCGATACGCTCCGAACAGTGTCTGACATTTCGAGGCTCCGTGCCCACCGTGCGTTTATTGCGCCGCGTAACGCGAAAGGCAGATAATGCCGCGACAATAACCGCGACGGTGAAACGAATCGGGTCGACGGCCTAAATACCGACCAGTTTTCCAAAAGCGACGTTCCCCCGCTATCGAGCGAAACTTTCCACCGTACATCGGCGCGTATTATCGCGACAATGGCGACGGAACGGGTCAGCGACGAGAACGAGCTCGTCACCGGCCAGCAGTTCGTTAAAAGTTGCGCTAAACTATTTTCCGTCCCGGCGCCCGTCCCATTATTCCCCCGCGAATTATTCGAACGCGCCAGGTAAGGAACGACCGGTGAATACGTCCGTCGGAGACACTTCGTTATCCGAAACGTCACGCGCGTTCACACGGACGAACGACCGCGGACGTCGCCGCAATACCCACGCAATCCTACGGTCGTTCGAGTGCACGTGGCCGTACGTGACTGCAGCTCGTATGCACTTTGAGAAAAATTTCAGGAATATATTCCGTGCCAGGCGGTACACGCCTCTGGACGTTTCGACGTTGCTCGTGACTGAAAAGCTAAAGGGTCAAAGAGACGCTCATCGCGGCAGAAAACTTCCGAAAGCGATGGATTTTGATTCTCGGGTAAAAAAATTAGTTGGGAGTTTGTCGAGATTTGAACGTGACATAGTTCCCTCGACAACGTTCGCGTGTACACGATGTAGAAGTTCGAAGGTCAATTAATCGCGATTCTTTGTACCTAATGAGACGGTTCTGATCGAGAAACTTTGAACAGTGCCGCCAACGCCGCCGACTTTGCTGGCAACGGGCACCACAACGGATGCTGTGCAGCTTCAGTGGAAACAGGGCGACAATGGCGGTGCCCCCATAAAGGGATTCCTGTTGGCTTATCGTCGCGAGTTCTCCGAATGGGAGGAGGTGATGCTGGATCGCAAAGCGAGCACGCACCTGCTGGAGGGCTTGCAGTGCGGGACCAGGTACCAGTTCACCCTGGCGGCCTTCAACAGGATCGGTAGCGGAAGCGCGAGCAAAATCGAGACGGCCAAGACGAACGGCACGAAGCCCGTTCCTCCTTCGAAGCACCAGCTGATCAAGGTGAACCAGACGTTCGTTACCTTGGAGCTGGCGGCCTGGCAGGACGGTGGATGCCCCCTATTGTACTTCGTCGTTGAATATAGGAGGCTTCCTGGCGATTGGCTACTGGGTAAGATATATTTTTAATTCAAGCTACCTTTGCCACGATCGAATAGATTTTGTCTGGATTTTTAACGAGTCGTAGAATTGTATCGAACCTCTTCGTGGATCTTTTCAAAACCAATCTTATTCACGAGAGAAAATAGTATACCCTCGAAGGTTGAGCCAACATAGATCACTGTACCGGATAGTTCGACGGTGTAGTAATAAATCGATCTGTCAGAATCGAACCGAGGATGATAATTTTATTCCAGTGTCGAACAACGTGCCACCGCAGACGAGATTTCCGATCGTGGACCTGGAGAGCGGCACCAAGTACGAGCTCCGGGTGACAGCTTACAACAACGCCGGGTCCACGCAGGCCGAGTACCTGTTCAGCACGCTATCGCCGAGCAGCCGCAATCGAATGCACGACGAGCATCCACCGGAAACCGAGGAGACCTCTCTGTTCTTCGACGCCCATGTGCTAGCACCCAGCGTCATCTCCCTTCTGGCCGTGTTCCTGGCGGTGGCTGGCGTCTGCTTCTGCCTGAAAACGCGTAAGTTCCCGGACCTGATTTCATCCGAACAGGACCGACAGAGAGATCTAGAAGGTTTCAGGTGCGAGGGGTTAACAAACGACGAATAAAAATTATAAATCTAGCTGAACCTCACCCTATCACCTGGACAGCAATAAATTTCATGTTTTTTACGAATCACTCTACAACTTTCATGAACCCATTTAATGCACTGGGATTGTGTTTCCTATATTCAAAGAACGATGGTTTACGAGCGTATACGACTTAAAAAATGACAACTTAATTATAAATCTAAAGTTTCTAGTCCTTTGTTCGTAAGTGTGAGTCAAGCACGATATCGAAGCGATGAAAATTCGTGTGAATGGATCGATCGCTCGTACGGGGTCCGCGTTCCTGAACGATCGATGGTGACTGAAACGCGACGAGCCAAATCGTAGAATTCTACGGGATGTAGTCGCTAGTTCGAGGATATAGATAGGATTTCAGTAGCACTGGCAATTTGCATTAAGCCAGAAGGGTGTGCTGGCGCCGCGTTCGTGGCACTCGACGTTGCTAAACGTCGACGGATTGTGCTCCAATTACATCTACCGTGGGAACGCATTCGTGAAACGACGAACCCGAGATATCGGTGCTCGAAGGGCTACACTATCATTGAGATCGGAAAGAAAGACAATTTTCACGATTTTTCCAACCATCGATCTTACGTTTTCACAACAACATTGATTAGAAATCTATACAAGAATTGAACACCCTGGAAAGTCTTGTTCGTTGAAAATTTACCACAGAGGTAATTATTTTATGGCGGTAATTTGATTCCCAATTTGACGTTGTCTGCTCCCTCGGAGGTTCGTTCCCTTTCTTCCCCTCTTCACGCGGTGCGTGAGTTTTCAGTCGAATGAGCTCTTACCGATGCAACGTAAACATCGCGGGACCTGCTTCGAGAGATTCGATTAATTAAGAGTCCCGTCAACGAGGCTGCTGAACGCTCCACGCAATTATGCTTCCTGTTGTTGACGGTGCCACCAGTGGCCCGTGCGTGCTGGCTCGCGCGGAATTCACTAGAATGCGCAAACCGACACGAGCAGCAAATATTTATGAATACCATCGATACCGAAGAATTTCGGATACGCATATTTGTCAATTATCCGCGATATTACTTCGTCTTTCAAATATTTTAAGATGCACTTCTCGAAAAAAGTAATGGACGATTCCATATCACAATTCATCGACAAACTATTCTACTGGTCAATGAATCGAACAAAATTTTTTACGCTAGCGATAATCACGAATAACAGAGTTTGCCCCTTGATCGAATGGTCCTAAATGCTACTCTCGATCGGATGATAAATCTTTTTCGCAGCCTTCGCGATATCAAATTGCTTTGTATTCCGAGCGCTGCAACGTTTCAGGATCTTTCGAAGCGACGAGTCGTCAACTTCCCGCACAGTTCGCGCTCGCTGCTCGAGAGGAATTATGTTTACGATGTCGCGGGCAACGCGTACAGACTCATTTGTCTTCGTCGACGCGACGACTGACGGGGGATTCGCGGTTTTTCAAAGCAAACTGTTCCCGTTAAGCTTCTCCCACTGTAACCCGGAACTTTGGTCGACGGACTCCGGCCTTTGTTCGTAGAAATTCTCGCAACAGATTGTCAAAGGCGACCCGGGCGTTGAAATTCTCTTCGATACCGCAATCTAGCGACGCGTCAAGCCTCGAGCGTACCAAAAGCGGTCTGCAACGTGTTCGGAGTTTAACGCGTAGAAATAAGGAGAACGTTCCGTTATATCTGATCCTATAAACAAAATTCTATTAGTCTCTGTGGTCTCGAATTGTCTCGACTCGTCGCTTGGAATCTGCATTCTTGGAATATTCGTCACCTGTCGAGCTTTCACGCGACATTGATCCACGTGCCACAGTGACCTCACATTTTACATTATTCTAGATATATTAAACAGCAAATTGTGAAATAAATTCGATGCATGAGCCTTTCCTTCCACTGTTGTTAAAGAAATACTAGCCTTTTGAAGATGTTTAACAATGATACCGAAATAACAGCATATAAATGCTATTAGAGTAAGAGACTTCTCGCGGAAGCTTTCGAAATAGGAGGGTGCCGCGTTTTCCGTTTTTAGAGACCGGTCGCGATGATTGCAGATGCAGAACGAGCCGGCCGCGCGAACGATCCGAATTCGCAAACTCAGGCGGCCCTGGAGAACAAGCACAATATGGAGCAGAGGGAACAGTACTACGCAACGGTGAGGAAGCCTGGCCAGCAGTCGCCCTGTCGCGAGGTGAGCGCGCTGGAAAGAATTCCCGAATATTCCGAAGACATTTATCCGTACGCCACCTTCAATCTGCCTGAGCAGGAAAACCTCTCGGCGAACCCGATACGACAGGCTTTCTACTACGAACGCAGCGAAACGATGCTGCAGGGCAATCAGGTACGTGACGCTGACGCCACGGAAGCTCTTTGAAAACGTTGGACGCGATGAATTTGCCTGCGAAGGTCGCCAACTTAATCTTAAATGGCTTTGTTACGCAGACCAGATGAATTTTGCATATAATTTCCCTCGACCTTGACTGGCCAGTCGCTTCCATCGTCGATCTAGCGTTTAAGTGATAAGCGTTGAAACCGCTCGTTGCTTCCAATTTAGTTGGAAGTTCGGCCCTCTGATTGGCTCGATCGATATAATGGGACCCCGGTAATGTGCGCGATTTTCGTTGTGGGACGCGATTTTCTAACTTTGGAACGTTGCAGTGCGATATGGACCAGTACACGAAGGTGCGGGGCAGAGCGCGACGCAAGTCCAAGTCCTTCAAATCGGAATCGGAGGAGTACGACACCCTCGGCTCCGACAGCGACACCGAGGTCGGTAACAGCAGTCGCACCGAGTCCTCGAACCACCTGGACGACTCCGGGCCAGCGTCGATAATGACGCGATCGCCCGGGCCGAACTCGATCGGGCAGAGGGAGCAACGACTAGCCCTGGTCCCGAGGCCGGTTCATCATAGTAAGTTAGTATTCGATTTTCTGTGTCGACGCCGCCAACAGCCTTAACAGCATCCGGTCGCCACTAACGACTCACCTTTCTCGCATCAACGTCTCGCGTGCACCTTCCAGATGTGCTGTACCACACGCACGAATCAAGTACATCAACCGAGCCGTCACCAATTTCTGAGAGGAAGACCTTCCCGAGGCTCGAGAAGCAAAGGTGAGCAACCAATTCGAGATATAAGATAGAATGTTGGCCCCTCGAGGTCGCATCTCGATAAAATAGTAAAATATTCCCTATTTAAGAGGAAGAACATGGACCTCGAGTGACCAACGCATCTGCTTCGAGTTAAAATCCATTTCCAGCTCGGAAACCACCATTCTCCGTTGAAACTATGCAAACCCCTTTCAAGTAAAACAAAATTCTATTACTTCTCGATGTCTACGCTTGTAACGAGATGATATAGAGCAATGATTAATGGATCCAGAGTATTTGCTTGCTAGATTAGATATTTTCTCGAAACTGAATGCCTGGAGAAATCTGAATTACTTTGATTCGTGGGAATCGAGAGTCTGATAGCTTTGGCTTGTGAAACTTGCAGGAATCATGGAGCAACGCCCGACATTGGGATCGACGGTCGCGTGCCGGGTATCCTGCGTCCCGTGTTGAAGCTCTCGGAATCCGGGATGCATTCGTACTCGAGGGGAGCATCGCCGAGCCGACCGGCGAGGCCTGGCTCCTGCGACAGGCTGGTAAGGGCACCGAGCCCGAGGAAATCCATGGAGTCGTTGTGCCTGTTGGAGGAGCCAGGTTCCTCCAGGATGGTGAGAAGGGAGGAGGACTGGGGCAGCGAGCTGTCTACGTTGGAACTGAAACCGCCGACAGGTTTCACGGACGCGCACGAGACCAGCGAGGCCGAGTGCGACATCGACATGAAGCTGAAGCTCCACAGGAAGAGGACGGGTTTTCCTTCTAACTCGCTCTCGAAATCGCCTAAAGACTTCACTATCACTGTCTAAGTGTTAATCAAATATCGAACGAGCGAAACGCTAAACGAAAAAAAAAAAAAAAAATTAAATAAGAAAAGGTATATTAAAAGAATGATATACGCACGTAAAACGATAAAAAAAAAAAGTAACAAAAAAAGTATATATAAAGCTGCCAAGCATGATGAGTGTTAAAATTCAAAACAAAAGAGATACTTTCCTCGCCGTTGAGATTGTCGGGATCCCCCAACGCTTCTCTGTGGATGGATAACTGTCTTTCCGTGTAACTACCGTCGACGATCCATTTACAATAAAGAGGTATTTTTGTAAGAAAAATATACGAAAATCGCTAACTGCGCGGGTCTCTTTTTCATTATCCCTTTCCTATGAAAATGCATCAAGGAAACGCAGACGAAACGAAGAATTCGGAAATAGTTGTTTTAAACGGATATAGAAAAGATTCGTGGTCGAACGGGGACAGGTTCGCTAAATCTATTTGAACGTTTACACGATATCTCCGGTGGTTATTTCTAACTCGCGATCGATTGCATTTCCATTCCCACGAAAATGGTCATTCGTTAAAATGACAATTGATAGCTATAGACGCGGCCATAAACGAGACGTCAATCAGCTTAATTGCGAACGCTTATCAGCTACGCGTCAGTCGCATTTCCATCGAGCAGAAATACGATCCAGTAGCGAATCTGGAGACAGAATTGCTACGTGGGTCGATAAACGAGACGATTAAACCAAGTAATATTCAATCGCGTTCGACCCGCTTTATTAGACGAACACTTGAAATTTGCTGCGTCTCGATACACGTAACTGCAGATGCCTTCATCGGTCGGTACTGACGTTACGTAAACTATATTAACACTTGGCATGCGGGTATACTTCGCCAGCAACTTACGCGTGCAGCGGGCATTTTTTCGTGAATCGTGGGAAGTTTGGTTATTCAGTAAAATCACAGTAAATCGAAAACTACTTCGTTTTTATCAACGAAACTTTTTTTATTTCACACTTAAATATATACTGTATGATTATTTTAACACAGAAAACGATATTTTTACGAAATTACGAAAATATCCGTTATCCATCACAAATCTACTAAACACGTATTTTTACGTGACCCGCGCTCCAACGACAGACTGTAAAAAACGTAAAAATACGTTGCCCGCATGCCAAGTGTTAATATCTGTCACCCTATTCTGGAAAGCTTCTATTTTGGAAGAGAAAAAATATAATATTGCTGGGGAGTGATACGCTGATTGAGATTTAATTTAGTTAGAGACCGAATCCTTTTTTTAGTCGTTCCTTCTTGCTGTACTAACTCCACATGACGAACTAGATAATGAAAAGAATATTGTTACAATACTCTAGAATCTTTGATGAATGAATCAGAATCAAAACTAACTTAGCGAAGAAGCTCTATATTTCTGATGATCTATGCAAAGCGGATCGCAGCCAATTTGCTAATATTATTTAGTTTTTAATTAATAATTACATTATCCAGTTAAGACTGATACAATTATTAATTAAACGCTAAATAATATTACCCAGGTCTCACCACGTGGAGGTTGCTGCGAATGGAGACCCGCCCTAACCGATTCCCAACCACCCTCCATTAATAAAGATCTTTTGTGACCAACGATCGTTTATCGAAGAAGCAATAAACGGAAGTGCAACCAACGAAGGAAACAACCAACGAAAGAGTTTTTTGAGAAAGAATATAATGATTGATATTGAGAACCAAACTCCTACTTAACTATAAATCTAAATTCATTTACATCCTACCTATCTAATCATCTAACAAAATACATAGAAAATATATTCTTCGAAGATTTCCTGAAACATACTGTTACATTTTACCTAACTATAAATCGAAATTATTAAAACATAAACTAAGCAATCTGAAACAAAATACATGGAATACATTCTTCTTTCTTCTATCTTCTATTTATCCCACGATGATTTCCTGAAACACAAATGAAGCAATATCAATGAAAATTGTAACAATTCTTAATTATTACCTCTATAAACCTAATACTTCCGTAGGAATTTGCTCTGTAACAGAAACTTGTCTAATAGATTAGTAAGAGAACAAACAAAAATTAGACACCTGCACCAAACATATACCCAACACCAAATCTATAAAACTACAAATACTACAACTACAGGCAAGTGCAGTGAGAAAGTAAAAATGGTACATAATATACGATGTTACTTTGACTCTAAAATGTATTCGTCGCGAAATATCTTCTTGCACGTAAATCTAATGATATATTTTAATAAGTAAAGAAAGACTTTGGGTATCTTCGATATCTTTCGATATCGAAGATACTCAAAGTCATCAACTGAATTATGAAAGTGAATTTAATTATTGAAGAATGTAAAGAACAATCGGAAGCTACTAATTTGACACTCATTCTAAAATTAATATAATTATAAGTATTATAAAAGATATTAAAATCATGACTCTACTTTCGATCGATATTACGATATTTGTCATATTAAAAATTGCGGCGTGTAAAAACATCGTACGCTTAAATAAAACGCGACGCGACGCGACACGTGCTCATAGCGTGCATTGAGTGTGGGTATCAGATTGATCCCCCCCGGCCTTGATTATCAGAAAAGCAAGTCGCGCCCCTGACCCACGTCTATCGGACCTCTCTACGTACAACCGCCGGGTCCTGGAGGACACAAGATCACAACAGGACCCGCTTAGTACTCGAGAACGGATATGGGTCAAGAACTCTCACCGGAGGTCATTCTCTTTTCCGTATAAAGAGGAGAATATATGCGCTCGGTGAGGCCCCACTTAAGCTGAACCAAGCTGCACCGGGGTTGAAGCGGTAAGAGCTATCACACCTAATACACAGGTGTCACATGTTTCATTCTATCAAACAGAGGTGATCGAGCAAAAAACTCTCCGGTCCTTTCGGTCGAGACATAATCTCGGAAAGCGAGAACCAGAGAACGAGCGGACGAGAGAAAGTGAACTATTCATATATGTATATGTACTCATTATATATTCATTTTAAAATGAGTGTCAAATTAAAAATGAATCTACTATGACATTTGTCATCTTAAAAATCGCGGTGTGCAAGAAGATTATAATTTTAAGCAAAAGGTACTAACTACACTTGCCAAAGAAAGCACGTATACAACCAGTTGTTTTACCCCTTTGCCTTACGATTTAATTCCCAACTGTGCCAAAAGCGTCAGCAAGGTTTGGCCCGGTAGACTTATCACTTCTCTGAGACGTCTTGTTCATGTTTGGCCTGGTAGACACATCACGTCTCTGAAACATCATTAAGCTAAGGGGTTAAAAAGGAGGCTTTTAAACACTTAAAAATGACCTATCAACCTATCACAACCTATCAACCTATCACCCGAAAACAATGTTACATTAATATATCCTGCAATATTATACATATCGAAGCAATCACATAAATTCGAAGAACAATGTAAAAGTGGAAACCGAGAAAAGGAACATTCATAGTAACCAAATAGAATCAGATAGATAAACGAAGTTGAATTCACATCAAACGAACAAATAAAAATAAAAATATAAATAAGTGGAGTGGACTTACTACTTGTTGTCAGTACATAGGGTAGTTACCAGTGGGCCAGCTGTAAAGTAAGAAAATATTCATATTATAGCAACGTCAGTTAGGCAAGCAAGGCAAAATCAGTTCATTGAGGTGAAATTTGTATCAAACGATAGAATAAAGGAGGGGAGAGAATTTTTAAACAGTTCTTACCGTAGTCATCACCGTCCGGCACTGGTCAGTAGTGGTCAGCAGTGGTCAGTAGTGACAGGAACGCGAGTCAGCACTGGTCAGTAGTGGTCAGTATTGGTCAGTATTGGTCAGTATTGGTCAGCGCTGGCCAGTAGTGGTCAGCAGCGGCCATCAGCGGTCATCAGCGGTCCCCGGTTCACTTCTGGCTATTTGCCCACTCCCGAATCCGCGACGCGACTGAAGAATTCTTCGCAGAGACCCTGCATATATGATTAAGGTGATGAAAGGGTGGGGAGACCAGTCAGAGCCAAGGTTGAAGTTAACGGGTAAGACTGTCTTGTCTACAGAGAAACTATTTCGATTGGTCCCACCTCTCGACCATTTCTGGATCTTCACTGAACCGCTGACCTCGATGTCAACCTCACTGTTGACCAGCAGTGACCATAAGCTGGTCATCGTTGATCATCGACCCAATAAAACCATTACGAAGATTAAAGCCTTCTTACGAGGATTCAATTACAATTTGATGCATGATCTTTTTAACATTTTGTTCCACTTTGGAAGAGTGTATCTCATGTTATAAGACACTCATGGTACGGCTTGATCGCCACACAGTTGACCGCCATCCACGAAAAGAGGACGCTAGAATCACCTCTCAATTTTTAGGTCGGTATGACAGTAAATTTGAGCCACGAGAGTTCATAAAGTGTAAGTTCAGTGTTATTAGAAGAAGGTATGTGGAATTATAAGAAGAACGCAGCCATTAGCTCATATTATTTGCTATGTAATTAATAATTATATTAATTACATAGTAAATAATATGACCCAGGTCTCACCGCGTGGAGGTTGCTGCGAATGGAGACCCACCCTAGCCTCGCCCCAACCACCCTTCCTTTGGCGAGGAATTCGAATACCTATCTGATAGAGAAGCTATCGAAAAGTTAGAAACGAGCTACAAAAGGAGAGTTCTTAAAAGAACTGCCCAATCAAGAGATGAAGAACCTAACAGAATGTCAATACATGTGAGATGATACACATGTTTTCTAGAAACGAAATTGAAATGTGCAACTGCACGCACGAACTCTGACCGATGAAGAGATCAAAAACCTAACAAAATGTTGATACATGTGAAATAATCCATCACATGTTTTCTAGAAACGAAATTGGAATGTGCAACTGCACGTATGAATCCTGATTACTAAAGTATCAATATGTACTTTATTATTAATTGTTCCTTCTTAAATAACTACATGCATTATGCCAATGACTAACAAGACACTCGTACAA